ATACTTATCCAATCCTAGGGCTTTGGCCAAGTCATACTGTATCAAGCATCGCTTGCAGCCGGTATCTACCAGCGTCTCGACATTTACTGGCCCTGTCACACCATAGACAGTCCAGTTAACGCCCCGGTACCAGGCAGTGACAGGGTCTGTGAACATCTTTTGGAACGGCGTCCTGTCTCGAAAATATGGCGGTCTTGGTAGTCTTGGTCGAATATGCAAGCAGGTACGCAGGGCAGCAGAGAGTACTATAGAGTGTGGACTGGTTGAGGAGAAAAGTCTTAGCAATGGAAGAGATGCTTTCTAGTGTTGTTCAAATTGTAGCTAATAGAAGATATTGCACGTTCTAGAAAACTCTACCTATTAAATATACTATTTCTTCGTAGATAGTAGTCATCGTCCACGTCACTGTACATATGGCAGATGTCTGTCTGGTAGAACTATTTCTAACGATACTTCATAGATAGCAGTCATTGTCCACGTCACTGTATATGTGGCAGATGTCTGTCTGGTAGATTAATAAGATTACTATATCTAATGATACTTCATAGATAGCAGTCATTGTCTACGTCACTGTACGTGTGGCAGATGTCTGTCTGGTAGAACTATTTCTAATGATACTTCATAGATAATAGTCATTGTCCACGTCACTGTACATGTGGCAGATGCCTGGTAGAATAAGGTTACCCTACCCAATATTCAGATGATACCGTCTGATGTCAGACTGTATCGCTCATGGAGCCATCTCCGACTTGATGAACATGGACTCGAGTGACTAAGTAAAGAATTTTGCCTGCAATCTTTATTTGAATTGTAGCGGCCCCATCTGGCTGCTTGGTGGCCATAAATCCTGATGCTCGGCAAATGAAGACAGTTAGTTCAATGGCTCCCTATGCATCGTTCAGGGGATATGAGGTTAGAAAGGATATATTCGGCAAAGTGCATCCTCGATTGCCATCTACTTGCAGGCTACACCTGAATCTATGGCAGGTATCTGAGCAGTGTAGCGGAAGGGGGTCTAACTTGAACTTGTTGTCCCTACAAACACAACTTGGACACTGGCAAAGGCAGCTGTGGCTCCATATACCTCTATCCTTCTAGCTTTGGTTGCCAAAGACATGCAGATTGAGAAGAGAAAGGTAAATAGACATACAAGCCCCACCCGTGTTAAGAGATCATGGACGAATACAAGAACAATGATTGATACCATGGGAATTATGGAGGAAAAGCTAGCCCCGAGAATATCCACTGTAGTGCGTAGTTTCGTGCTCGAATAGTGGTACAAGCACGTTGGCTTTTCACCATTCGGCGCCTTTTCTTCGTCCCCTGCATGTGCTCTCTATCCACAAGATTAGTATCAACTGCTAGGTATAACCCTTAGAGTACACAAACTCGAAATAATCTTCTGGCCCAGTGGAATAAATCCATCCCTGGCCCAGTAATGAGACGGGAAAAATAATCGTCTTCCCCATTGTCTTCGCCGAGAAAGACAAGATCCCGATGATTGGAACTGTCGAACACTGATGGGAACGGTGGCTCGTCTCCCAAATCGCGACCGAGGAACTGACAGTTCCCACCTAGTGACTCGCTGCGAATGAACAAGTGCACCATGTCTCGTTGATGCTCCGACGGCCGTCGCATGGCTCCCACTGATTCGTACTGTTGCATTGCGGTGTCTGCAAGTGGAAGTTATCATCAGTATTTCATGTTCATCCCATTTCAGCAGCACTACATTGACTGTCTATGTGTTCAGTTGCTTGCTTCACTCACAATATTCTCTCAACTTGTTTCTAATTTGCAACGCGAGTTGCCACTGCTTTCCGTCCCCACCGCGCATTCCATGAGACTGCAGATGCCACCATTCCCGGTCATTCAAGCGTATTTCGTCTTGACTTGCATCCAACTGCGCTTGCTGGGTGAAGTCATATTGGAGATCGCACAATTCAGCTTGCAAGTAGAGAAGATCTCGAACGGCTAAGTCTCTGTATTGCTTAAGCATGACATGTTCTCGATCCACCATGAACTTTGCTAGCTGGGAGTAACCCGTGATCGGTAAACTCGCCGGGGGCTCCACGGCCATTACGACGGTACAGACAGAACGAGCTTGGCGAATATGCAACGACCGTTCTACTAGGTTTTTAGATTGTTTTGTAGCTTTCGCTCAAACTGAGGTGGCGAGGCTTTTCAGATAAAGAAAACCGTCGCTGCTTGTCGTAAACCTGTGAAATGTATACATCGTAACACAATTGCGGGTTGGGTGCATAAAGGAAGCAATCAGCCAGATATTGGGCTGCTTGAGTTTGGAGCATGTTTGCTGTTACATGTGTTACCCTTCCATTCCTGTTAGCGTTGGCTTTGAGTTACAACTCGAAAGTGGCTCCATTAGCGACATTTGGAATGAAAAGAATATCACTGAGATGTGAGCGGCTCATTTCGAGTGATACAGTTCTGGCTCCGAGGTGATGGCTAGGTCAAAGGACCATCCTTAGGATGCGTGGAAATGTTAGCCTGTCCAGATGGACGCCAGGTCATGGACAGTGCACTCGGAAAGATATGCCTATGGTCGAGGGATTCTCAACTAAAGATGGTGAAGAACCTTTCGTTTCTTTCTTCTCCAGAGAGGAACTGGATGTTCTGGTGCATCGATTCTATATTTATCGAAGAAGGCTATTACAACAAAAATATACGTCCGACCGCAAAGTCGTTAATGTAGCATCTAGAGACAAGCGCCAATGAGGATATGGTTCAGCTTAGTCTGATTTGAATTTATCAAGTTTCAGTACGACGCCTTTATATGTTTCTGTAATAACCTATGCAAAGGATTTGTTCAGTAGACTTTAAGTGTATTTCGATGCGACATAAACAAATAATAAAGGCAATAGTAGCAGATCATTTATTCAATTTATTTGATCAGATTTAGCTCAGGTCACTCTGTCTAATATACTATAAAATATACAATAAAAATAAAATTGGTTACTATGAAGAGAGACAATGGTATTATCGAAGCGATGGGACTTCGTACTTGATGATATGCGCAATCGATCCGGCGACCCATATAGTTGAACAGCCTCAGGCATCTCAACTTGATGTCGTCCCCTTTGAGATGAACCAGTATCGTGGTCGACGTAAATGGCGTTGCTCTTGCCACTATGTGCATTTCCCATCCATCTGGCAGTAGATTACTCTATAGTAAGTGGGTCTGCGAGGAGACTTTCTCGTGCGAAGCAGGCCCCTGCGGTCGTCTTCCGAAATGAGGATGATCTTCTACCAGGCTTTTGTCCATTGGCCACAAATGCATTATGACTGCTGCGCCTTGTTTAATGGTATTCTCCCGTAGACTGGGCAAGATAATTGCTTCTTCTGAGCCAATTAAATCAAAATTCTCGTCAAATACAAGCGATCCAACAACTTCCACCTGACAAAAACACTGCCTGGTTAATTCTTTCATGCCCTTCGGGTGCGATGTCAGCCTTCAGGAGGGCCCACACTGTCGACTTGACTTGCCGGCCACGTATTTTATTGAAGTCAAGGAACTTTGTCTTTCCTCTCCACGGCATCAGTGAATCACTTCCTTCACCCACGCTCTGATGACTCTACTAAGTGAGGTCTATCAGTCTCGGAGTTGCTAGTTTCATTGAAGGAGACAGCCCGCGCAATTCAGGGTGCTTGAGGTCGAGACTTACTAAGAGGCTGCCGATAACAGAATATGTACTAAAGTGAGCTTTGTATGAAGAGTCTCTCGAATACATTGAAGCTCATGGGATTTGTAAAGCGTTGATTCCACAAGCTTTGATCCCATCTTGCACCGAGGATTTTGGAAACCTGAAGTTCCGGGATCTGATAACCGTAACAGATATTTCTTCATCGGTTCCTGAAACTTGGCAATGATCTCAATAAATGACATCACAATATTGGTAGCAGCATGGACAGTTGCTCGTAGAAGCATCCTATGGCTTCCCATATGGCTAGCTTGCATAAATACTTGTTGCATTGCGCCAAGTTCAGTGATAGCTTCGATGTATTCGATGGATGCACCATTTGAATCCGTCACAGCCATCATTAGGGTCATTGTCTAGGCTATTGTTGTCGATAGAGTCGTTTCAAGTACTGGTGACTTCCCATTCACTGGCGTTTGCTACACCCTGGCAGGGTAAAGTCATATTCGTCTTCTGAAATTTGATGCGCAAACCTTAATTTACCCTCTTCCATACGAGGCTGACCCTAAGGTAGCCACACATGGCACACAGCTAGCTACTAACTATCCATGCCAAATAAACATCAGACTATCCTTATGATTCCAATATTTGCTGAAATATCCTAAAAAATCCGGACTGGTGTAATGGCAACATGGCGAAGGGCACTTGGGTGTAAACTCAGGCCTCCTTGGAGGGCCGCAGCTCCAGGTTCGACTCCTGGGTCCGGGAGAAAATTAGTTTTTCCTCGTTCTCCGCCAGCAGGAGGCTTCAGCATTGTCAGGTTGGAGCATTGTTTTTATTCTTCTTTTTTTTTAATTGAGGAGATCATCGCTTTGGTTTGCCGCGAGAAGGCCTGATCTATGATCAACTGTCGGCCGACTTGCTTGTTCGTGAGACACCCTCTTCCCCAGCAAGCACCACCAGGAAGGTCCTTCTCTCGGGCAAGACTCCCCTATGCTAAGCTGTCCCGAGTAGTGCCTGAGTAGGGCCCCAGAAGCGACTGAAAAAATGCCACAGGCTAGGTTGGGGGGATCAGGATGAGTGAGGACAAGACAGCTTTCGGGCCATACAACAGATCATTCTAATGTTCGCTCGTAGACGTTTTAGCAATATCCACCGTAGCCAGGGTTCAAGGTTCCCGTCTTATCAAACATCATAGCCCAATTAATGAGGAATTCCTACTACACATTCCTGCCTGCGTGACATGCTGTTCATTGTGTCTATATATCTGTTTGGGAATTAGTCTAATATTATATTCCTTATCAATTACAAATCGCTATCTGAGAGGTCCCAACCGCGTTGTAATACCTATGACCCTCCCTTGTACTTCCAGGTCGAATTTCTATGCAACAGATAGTCTTTGCTCTGTATGCTTTTCCAGATACCATACAAACCACCGATCGGTGGTATCGACTTTAACCAGTGGCGCTTACGCTGAGACACCGCCTCATCCACCTTGACCTTATCATACACAGTCGGCAATGATGTGGCGTGGTATTTCGTGCGCAGCTCATCATACCAGCCTCGTCCCTCATACATATCCCAGAATTTATCCTGGTCATAGTAAGTATGGGCGTAGAGCCACTTCATACCTCCTAGCTCTCGCAGCTTTGCTTCAAGCCCTTTGTTCTTTGCGATAAACTCATCAGGTTTCGCAGGACCCCAGCCCCATAGTCCGACGTTGAGCATCATCTCTGGTGTTTCCGTCTTCGTCGCCTCAGTAGAAGGCGGTGTTGTGAATGGATGGAAGGTTGGGGGAGCCCTTCGGCGGAGTGGACAGAGCCAGAGCGGCCAAATGCCGAACTCCTCGGCCGTGTAATCAACGAACCGCTCCGTCGTCTCAAACGGCATGGCAAGGTCTTGCACGACGAAACGTGCGCTCTCGCCGCTGCCATGTAAAGCCCGGTACATCATGCGCGTATGCAGGAAGTCGTCGAGGAACCAGCGCGTGAAGCGATTGAACGGCACCAATTTGAAGTATTGATATGCGGCGGTACCAACCCAAAACCCTCCCCTATCGTATCTGAAGAGGTATTCGGCCAACGGGATATAATCTGTAGGTGCGGCGCCGCCCGCGGACACGTCGCGTGTCCGGTCTTTCACATGCAGGTAAAACCAAGGATCCCATGCGCCACTAAAAGTCTGTGGTTTGGCGTCATCGGGCTTGCTTTCAGTGAGACTACCCGTGATGACCACGCCATGGTCCTTGCTAAACAGGATACCATCTACGTAGTCGTTGCCCGGACGAGCCACCTCCTCCTGCACAGTAGCCACTGCCTCGGCGACACTATGTGTGCGTCTATAGGTGGTTCGCACGAAAGGCTTTGCCTTCATAAGCTGGAGTTCAAGGAGCGTAGTGACACCCAAGGTGCCGACAGCTCCGGCCGCGCCGGTGAAGAGCTCCGGCTTCTGATCGCGCGACGCCGTCACGACCTCGCCGTCTGCAAGAATCATCTCGATACTCTGGACAGTGTCGTCGAAGAACCCATGCTTGAAACTGCTGCTTTCACCAGCCGTGCCCGCGTACCCACCGCCAGCAGTGATGCCGGGGAATTCCATAACGACGGGAGGGACGAGGCCATGCTTGAGTGTGTGCTCGACGAGCCTGTCCATAGGAACATTGGGCTCGACGAGCGCTGTCCTCGTCTGCGGATTGACCTCAAGAACATTGGATAGTGCGCTGATATCCACGACCCGGGTGCCCGGGCGCCGGCCGGGTCGCGTGCTGTTGGTGCTTCCGTGGAAAATCCGGTACGCTTCCTTGCGGTCGAAGAACTGCTTGACCGACGCGGCGATCTTCGTCACGGCCTTGCGATGGCGCTCCATATCGTCTGCTGCCCTGCCCCAGACCAATTGGCTGCCAATTGCCTTTCAGCGTCGTTTCACACTCGTTTCTCTGATTGTTAGTCTCATCCGGTGAAGTCGGGTAGTGGAAGATTTCAACGTCGCCCGTGCGCTAAGAAAATGCCCGGAGAAGGTCCCCCACCTGAAGATGCTAGGCGAGATGATCCCGGTGCCAAGTCTAGACATAGTCAAGATCCGTGAGATACAATACAATAATTTCCTGTGCATAACAGATGGAGACCCATTGTTGGCCTGCTTAAGATGCCTGATAAACTTCTCGAGTATCTGTGATCATCAATGTGTAGCATGCCTTATGAAGTCCTTCTAAGTCTTGGGAATATGTGCACTACCGCTGTCCACCAGCCTGAATGATTATGAGCATGCCACGTCATTTCTCCTAAAATTACATCTCATGTTCTCAATTTTGAGACCCTTTATCATAACTTCGCAATGCTATCTCCCGCACTCTGAGCTGGTACATTGATGCCAGCCTTCTCATATATCCTCCTCTTCATCTCCTGCTCCGCGTATGGCCCTAGCTTTTCAGGCTCAAGATCGATCTCCTCTACCGTCTTCGCTTTTACGCTCGTGAATTTCGAGGCAATGCTACTAGGATCCGTCACGGCCTTCTCGATGAAGCCTATCCAGCCCTCTATACATCTCTTGGACCCGGGATTCTTGGGAAATATCATAGCAAAACAATGAGGCATCCCTTCGTACTCTTCAAACACAACACGCACTCCGTCTTGATGTAGCTTCCTCGCGATTAATTTGTCTTCATCGGATAACAGCTCCCATCCTGTGCAAACATATACCGGCGGCGCACCTTCCCAGCTCTGCGCCATAAGGAGTGTCACTAGAGGGTGTGTAATGAGAGAGTCGGCGACGTAAAGCGCTTTCCTCGGGGGGTCTGTAGGCCAAGCTGGGCACTTGGGCAACTGTAGCGTGTCGAGGCCCGACAACGAAGGCAAGTAGTCAAAATCGGCATTGGACTCGCAGGAGGGCGAGCTGTGCGTCATGTCTATCCATGGCGAAACAGTTGTGACGCCCGCTGGTAGGGGAATGTCACGTTCTTCGCCAAACCAGGTGATCTTGACGTTTTGCCGTCGGAGTTCTAGCACTAACTGCAGCAATGCAAGACTGAGATTTCCCCCGGCGCTAAGGTTATGTCAGTAAATTGACAGTCAGATGAGCGGGTTGATGAAGGGACTCACCTGTCACCCGAGAATAATATATGCTCTGGCTTGACTGCTGTGTGAAATGCTCCAGGCGGAGGATACAGCAGCGTCAAGTAGGAGACCAACGCATCCAGTAGTGCAGCCGGAAAGGGATGTTGCGGAGCCAGTCGGTATCTCACCGAGTAGCATCGGCCGTTCGTCAGCTTAGCCAGCTTCTTTGTTGTGTCCCTATGAGTTGCCGGATCCATAAGCCAATATGCACCGCCGTGCAGGTACAACAGCGTCGTGGGATTCTTAACTTCCTTCATCATTTCGTCGTACTTCTCCTTCTCCGAGATGGAGGGAAGACTTGATTCCGAAGTCGCATCAGCCCGATAGCCAGTCCATTCCGCCTCAACCGAAACGATATCTGGCAACTGGAACTCCAGAGTAAGCATGTCTCCATGCCGCAAGCTGTCAATCGCATTGATAAGAGCGTCTCTTATGCTCGTTTCTGGTGGCACCGGGGCAGCATAAGTGCTAACCCATATCCTTCCCTTGATACCCGGATCTTTGTTTACGATCTTCTGCGTTGCGGTTATGCTCTTGGGGTGTGACGGGTTCAGGAAAGCCCGGATTGTGTTCACTATTAGCTCGGTTTTTAGATCCATGTACTTGGACTGTTCCGACATCGAGAAAAGATGTGAGACGGCCACCTTTGTTATCATTGGGATCTTGGGGAGCAGCTCCCAGACGAGGTCGAGTTTTTCGTTAGACATAATGCCGGGTTGACCGATGTTTGGCAGAAGTATCTAATCACAGTAGACAGAGCAGCAGACGAAGGCTGCTGCAATGAGAATGAACAAGTCCAAACAGTTTTGTACGGATATTAAAAGGCGCTTGAATACGAACAAATGAACCTAAAGCTGAAGAGAAAGAAGATTGAAGAGCAAGCTGAAATGCCAGCAGGTTACAAAACGTTGTAGCATCGCAAAGTGGTCCTCAGATTGGTCAAGAATGCGCCGGGCGACGCTTAGTATTCACGGAGCAATGAGACCGGCAGACGTGACCACCGAGGGGCCATGACGAAATGTGTCAGGACTCAGGGACGCATTACCACCCCACTGTGTTGATGTCTTTGATTTTTTGGGGCGAAACAATGTGCCTCGGCTGCTGAGAATAAAGTTGGATGCAGGCTTGCGATAGGGCAGATCAATCTAAGATGGCCTACCCCTAGGTGCTGGGCGTCCCTCCATTAGCGGGACGGGTTGTTCTTGGTGTCCGACAGTCTTCTACTGTGAGAATGACCTACATTTAGTAGCACTTGGAAGACTGCTGGTGTCCTGAGGCAATCTCCTTCACGAAGCGTTTTCTAGGAGATAGGAATTTGCTACTAGCAGGCGTTTACGCTTAAGATGCAATTCTAGTCAGTGCTCGAATATTTTATTGATCAAATACTTGGCCATGAGCTGATAGAGAGCCGGATGAAAGGTGCGAGATGGTACATAAACAGGAAGACTCCGTTCAACTCGAAAAGACACCACCACTGTGAGTCTGCAAAAGTAATCAATAAATTTGCTCCGTAAAGCCTAGCCTAACCTGTTTGACGCCTTTGACTAGGGGTTGTCTCTTTGTATTATGATACATCCACAATCAAATACATTGCCCTTCCAATGCAGTGTCTTCTCCCTAAAAATTCTTAGGAGCTGCCGCTCGCTTCCTGCTGTGCACTTCCGCTCGTCTCAGTGCCATTCGCAGCCGACGATGAGGCTGCACTCTTGGTTGCCATGGCTCTCTGCCACGCAGGGATGCTAGCAGTTGAGGCTGGAGCGCCAGTACCGAAAGGCGAGCTGCGGCCCAAGCTGGATACATAATCTTGGTAGCCACTTGGCTTAGGCTCCTCTGTAGTCTGGCCGTTGGTGCCATTCGTGCCATTCGTGTTCTCGTCTGTCACAGTCGCCGCTAGCGGAGCAGGAGAGGGCGTCGTTGCAGAGGGCGTAGCATTTCCGTTGGATGGTCGTAGGTAGTTATTGACGCTGGTAGATGTTGCTGTAGGGTTCATTCTCTGAGTGATCAACGTCTTCAGGCTCTTGAGCTCTGCGTTGACCTCGCGAAGTCTGTTGTCCGTGGCTTCCTGCTGTGAGGTCAGGGCCTTCGGGATCAAATCTTTAAGTCCCTGTACGTCATTTCGCACTCTATCGGTATCATCATCTCTTCTTCGGTTTGCAGACTTCAGCTCGCCCATGAGTGTCTCAAGTTCGGAAAGGGCGCTATCGAGGCGCTCGGTTCGCTCCTGTTCCGCGGCCTTGAGGGCTTCGGTATCCTTCGCCAATTGTTCAACCAGAGCGAAAGCCTTCTCGTACTCCTCATCGACGGACTTCTTATCCTGCTCTAGTCTCTCTGGAGTTGGCGGCGCAACGAGCGGATACACATATCGCTTGAAGCTATTAGCGAAAGAGTCCTATTACCTCATCGTGGACCTCTCACCTTGCCAAGAGCATATAAGCCATATCCCACACCTCCGACGACTGTCGCCATGATGAACCAGTCCCTCCAATCTCTCCTAGGAACCTCCGGCGGCGGCGGTTGCCAGCCATATGGGGGATAGGAGCCATAGTACTGTTGCGCGCCTGTTGGCGGAGCGATGGTTGAGGGATAAGTAGGCGCCTGTTGGCCTTCAGCGCGCGCTAATGCAGCTTGGACTTCCTCCTGGGTGAGGTTCTTCGCTTGCAGGAAGGCAATTCGGTTCTCGATCGGTGATGATGCCACACTTGGATCTTTGAGGACTACACATAGAGGTCAGCGACGGGCTACCAGCGAATCGCGAGGCGTCGAAGTCGGCGACTCACATTGGGCCTACGATAAGGTCAGTATGCGCTCACATAATCGAGTAGGTCAGTAAACTTACCGCAGAGGCCACAAGGTCCTCGCGAATAGGCATATTGTCTAAAGGCCCTGTATATGCCTATACCATCGCAAGAGTCGATGCGAGGAAGCGATATGCAATCTCGTCGATAAGGTCGCGTGGAGAAGAGGACGAAATCACAATCAGACTGGATGAATGGACGGCTTGTGACGACCCCAGGAATTGAAGAGGCCGGTTTGGACCGAGGCTCCAAAAGGTGGCCCGTGCCTTGGAAGCGGCTGCCAAGAGAGTGCACTGGGGTGGGCCTAAAACAGAGGGCGCTAGTCATATTAGCGCCGTCCCTGTTTACTCGGGGGGTTTGTTTACTTCTGCACCAGCAACCTAAGCCACACCAAAAGTTCCCCTCCAAGGAATCATCACCAACACTTGCACACGACTTCTATCGCAAAGCTAAATCCAGACCATTCGAGAGCGTGTGCGTTTTCCTGGGCGAGAGACCGTTCTGGAAATCATTGCGACCGTCAAACCCCAGTATCATGTCACAGGAGACCGGCCTGTGGAGTGTCCGCAGGCCAAGGGAGGTATGTCGCGCCGCCATTAATGAATATCATAAAGAGACTATGCTAACTGACACGATGCGCAGACTCTTGGGAATCTCAACTACAACTCGGCAATACCCCAACCGCCATCAGCGATGAAGCGCTCCAACTCGACGTCTGGAGGACAGTACTCCGTCGGTCATGGACGCTCTATGTCGGGATCTAGACAATCCCTCGCTATGTCGCGACCGCCGCAACCACTCTTCCAGCGCTCATCGTCCGGAACAAATCTCGCAGACCTTGGACTTTCGTCCGTAAAGCGCACATCCCTCGCACCAAACAGTGCGACAGGTCTGAGGAACTACACGCCTGGTGCGATACCTGGGCGAGCATCCACCGACGGCGAGCGGAGGAGCAGTGTATACAGGGCGCGTTCATCAACAACGCCTGGTCATATGGGCGGCCACCAGAGTTTCTTTCAACAAGCGCCGCAACCAGCTGGAGTTCCACGAGACCCGCGACCTTTGAAGGACCGCGCTTACCAGACTCGGATTGGGCAGGAACTCCTCGACTACTTGGTGGCGCACAACTTCGAGATGGAGATGAAGCATATGTTGTCACAGAATATCGTCAAATCACCGACACAAAAGGATTTCAACTACATGTTCCAATGGCTATATCACCGCATCGATCCTAGCTATAAATTCCAACGCAACATCGACCAGGAGGTGCCTCCTCTTCTAAAGCAGCTACGGTACCCCTACGAGAAGAGTATCACAAAAAGCCAGATTTCTGCTGTCGGTGGTCAAAACTGGAGCACATTCTTGGGTTTGTTGCACTGGATGATGCAGTTAGCACAGATGTTGGACGCCTACATGACGCACCGCTACGACGATGCCTGCCAGGAGGCGGGAGTCGATGTTTCCGGTGATCACATCATATTCGACTTTCTCAGTAAGGCATATAGGGATTGGCTTGCTATGGATGATGATGCCGCCGATGACGAGGCTGACCAAGTCCTGGCACCCCATGTGGAGGCTATGACCAAGGCTTTCGAGAGATCCAACTCCAAATATCTTCAGGAGCTGGAAATTTTGGAGGGTGAGAATGCTCGGTTGCTAAAAGAGATTGAAGATCTTGAAAAGTCAACGCCAAACCCAGCTGTTCTTGACGATCATTTCAAGATAATGGAGGAGGACAAAATCAAATTCGAGGAGTACAACACATTGGCCATGCAGAGATCAGAGAAATACGAGACCCGCATCCACGTGCTGCAAGAAGAGCTTGACAAGCTGTTGCAGGAGCTGAAAGACGCCGAGGACGAGCGAAGAGGACTTCAAAAAGCCGTGGACGACCAAGGTATCAGCATGCAGGATATTGACCGCATGACTTCTGAGCGGGAACGTCTACAAAAAGGCATTGAGTCTGCAGCGCAGCGTCTCGAGGATGTCAAAAAGAAGGTCGCAGAAAACGAGGTCGAGGCGAGCAGGAAGCTGGATGATCTAGAGCGTATGGTTGACAGATACAACACGTTGGCCTACCAGATTGGCTTGATCCCTGCTACTGCAGTCAACGCGAAGGGCAAGGACTACGAGCTGCGGGTGACAGTCAATGACGGGCCGAATTTCACTGCGTCCCAACTCAAGGGTTCTTACGCCGACGGCTTTGAGAACGAGAGACTTCTCGCAGATCCCGTCACGGGCTACCAACCTGCCCACATCCTCAATCTCGATCTCCGAGGTCAAGTTAAGCACGCTTTCCTCAGTCTGAGGAAGGAGATCTCGGAGAGGCGAGGCCAGGCAATGGACATGATGATGAAAGACCACGAGCTCCTCGACAACATTAAGGAGGCTATGGAGGACAAGCGCAACGAGGTTGAGGCCCTCGAGCACAAAGTGCGCGCTGCTGAGGAAGAACACGAGAAGACCAAAGAGGTGAGCGTTGACAAGTCTCATACTCGTGGAAATAACAAGTTGACAAGTACTCAGGTTACCACGACACAACGCATGGCTTCCGATGCTCAGATTGAGAAGATGGAGAAGGAGCTTGCAAAGATGCGCGGCAACCTCTCCGAATCAGTTCAACTAATGGAGCAACGAGAAATGACCACAAATATCGAGTGAGTTTCGCGAGCATGCTGAAATAAACATGCCCACTGACCAATTATAGGTATGAGCAGCTGACTCTCAAGGCCAATGCCCTTCGCGAGGAACTCCACACGGAGATCATGAAGCTGCTCAAAGAAGTGATCAAGTTTAAGATGCACGTTCAGAAGAACCTCGAGGACTACGAGGGCTTCGTGGCAGATGAGCTTCTGAAGGAACTTGATAGTGAAGAGATGAAGGATGATACCCAGAAGATTGAAATGTGAAAAGCCCTTGTTGTCTGTTAGTTTGTTGTTTGAACGTCTTTCGAGAAGGAACAGGTTGCATCGGGCTTGTTGGAGTACATGTTGGTTGCTACAAGCATATTGTTCTGATAACGGTTGTTATGGTGGCGTATAGATTCGCCTGATTGTACAGATGATGACGAGCATGAAGATACCTGGAAGCAATTAATGATATTTCCGTCCGTCGATTTAATGCTCTTTTTTATTTATCGTTGATAGGAGGGACTTACACCTGCATATGGGTCCGGCACACTCCGGACAAGATCTTCAAGGAAGCTTCTGAGCACATTGTCCCTACATATAAAAGAAGATTGAGATGCCACTTACCACAAGATCATCGGACGACCACAAACAGCTCTACCAAGCGCGTGCGCGTGACCGGGTCGTCACCAATTCCACTCGGGAGATCGTTGCAGGGTTGCCGCGGTGGGCTTGGTCTCGTGCGACGGCTCGGCTAGGAATTGTAAATTGTAGGGAGGGGCGTGGCGTATGTGACATCCCCAGATCCCCATACGTAGTTAATACCGTTAGTGGCGGCTAGCTGTGGCTTGCACATGGTTCCTGCCAAGTTTTTCTTGGCAGCTCGATGACGATGGAAAGGGAGCAATGATTGGATACACCAAGAGACGTCATTATGCCATACCGTTCTATTTCACTATATTATACACTGGATTCTTACCTTTTTTTGCTCTAGGTATAAGTAGTACAGACTTGAATTGGAAAATTGCTATGATACGATAAATTTTAGTTACAAAATACTTTGCGCACCTTTTATTCACAAGTCCTGCCTCTCATTTTTAGCTGCTGCCACATTCATAATGTTTAAAAAAACTAATAGGCGTCATGAACACCCGGAGAACCAGAGCGATAATAGGCGTCGCATGACCTGGGATATTCCGTTAGCTTTCCCTACGCAAGATTTCTGTGTATGAATGCTAATCTTTCTAATTTAGTATTTTGTTTGGGATCATCTTTGCGCTAGCAGTCGCAGAGCTCTGCTTTACCATTGACGCTTTCGTCTATCTTCAAAAGAAACACAAATGGTACTCCAACACTGAGAAGGCCCGTATGGGCTTTCTCATCTTTAGCTGCGTCAGAGCGATTTTCCTGTCGTCCGTTTATATCGGACTTCACTTCTTTCCCATCAAGAACAAGCTTAATCTCGCGCACATGGTCGGTGTTCAATGCCTTTCCTCATAGATTTTTCCAAAAATAGCTACCCACTGACATAATGCTCTAGATATTTGTTGTTCTCTCAACTATCTTTTGGGTCGTATCTGGCGTTCTCATTTACCAGATCTGGCAATATGTTGAGTGCCAAAACAACGGCATACCGAGCAGCGTCGATGAGTTCAAGAGCCAGGTCTCTGGTGGGCTGAGCCTGTGCCACGAGATCAAGATTATCGAGATTCTGGCATGGGTCATCGCCGGCGTCAGCGTCATTGCTGCTATACCTGTTGTTATGACAACCATGAAAATGAGGAAAGAAAGGCGACAAAGACGCACCGGTGGCAAGACGGCGACGAGTGCCTGAGCTCGAGGCTGTGGGGCGAAACGCTCAGTGTCCAAGGCCCAAAGGAAGTTATGTCTCTGGTGACTTCAGGCACAGAGAGAGGATATTCTACTTCAATTGATACGAAAGAGTAAATCAATTGTTTGCCATTATCGCCTTTACTATTTGTTTATGTTGAATTGGGCGACACATCGAGACTCTGTTTAACAAATTCTTGTATATGTTGTTCTAAAAACACACGGAGGCCTCCTGTCTAGCGCATGATTTAATAAATTGAAATCAGACTAAATTGAACCATATCCTCGTCAGAACTTGTCTCCAGATGCGAAATCAATTCCGAGTAAGCAATATGCAAATTCCTTTGACTCGCGTCATCTCTTTTGTTGCAGCCCGCGACATTCTTGGCTCAAGATGTCTATGATAGCTTCGAGCTTGAAAGTTGTAGATTGATAAGCCACATATTGGCTAAAATGATAGATATGAGACTAAATGCATATTAGTGCGTGTATTGATGACTTGATTATGATGTTGCGAAGGCTTGTTGTTTTTGGTATTGAGGTCACACAAACCGTTCTTCACATCTTGCCCGCTATTCTAGTCTCGTAAGACAAGATGCTGTTTTTGATTGGCTTTAAAGAACGCCATAGTACCCAGTTACTTCTAATTTGTTGCCCAATTGCAGCTGGGCAACAGTATCAGTATCACTAACTTGATACCACTAGACTGTGAAGAGCAAGATGTAAGAAAGGATTGTAATGCAGACATGCAATTATATACTATTGTTAAGGATAGGCGCTTGGGGCAAATTATTTCGCCGTCAAGAAACAGTGAGATAACAATAAGGGACGAGTAAATATCTTCACGGCTTTCATGGCAAGGGAAATCCAGACGATTGCGATAGTGTTATACACGCGTTCTTGATCGTAATTAGGATTCTCTCTTTCTTGCTTGCTTTTGTCATGATATGCAACATCTATGAAGAAAAAGAAATAAAAACAAGGTTGGTAGTATTATACTGCCAGCAAATGAACTCGCCATCATGTTCCGGTTAGTTTCAGTGTCACTGCTAGCTAGAATTCTGACGCGAAACTTCAAAGATCCCGATGGGATAGAGCAGAAAATCAAAGAAAGTCCTATGAGAGGTTTTCAGATCCTTTGTAAAATCCAATCTCTGTCTTAGCACTTCTGTACATTTTTCGGCGACTTGCCTTACGCTGGCGGACTTTCGACATCATGGTCCTGAGATGGTGAAGTCGCACCACCTTTCGAGGAGGCAGCAGATTCGCTCGTTCTGAGACTGGATGCGGATGTCCTTTCCCCTGAAGGTAATTCCGTTGAGGGTGTCATTGTGGAACAACTGGTATTAAAGTTGTTAGCTTGTGAAGATATGATATATTTTTATGGGTAAGACATTTTCGTGGTTTTGGCTTGCATTAGTTTTGTCATCGTTCGCTCTCTTGAACCATGTCGATCTGATTTTTGATGCACTCCACTTTCGTAGCATCAACGAGAGGAAAGCCACGATATCTGACGCACACAATGACACATTTTACACCACGGATAAAGTCGCGTTGAATACCATCCTTCAAACAATGGAGAGAGCTCATCCAGGGATTCGGAAGAGATCCGTCGACAAAATAACATCAACAGCATGTGGGGTACTTCTATGGGTGGTCTTAGTAGTGAGCAGGCTGGGAACCTGTCTTCAAATTACGAGTCTTCAGCAGAAATGGAAAGAGAAATTGATAGCCTATCTTCTGATCTCGAAAGGTTATACGAACATATGTTGAAATCACAAACACAGCAACATCGCCTTTTTGGGCCGAAGTATCTCCAAGTTTCCTTGCGTAATATGGAAATGGGCACCGACCTTTCCTTGCTGCAACTTTCATTTGCAGAAGCCGATGATTATGCAAAACCACTGGAGAGTGAAATCTCAGAGCTTACTCCGGAAGCTGAGATGTGGGCTTGCCGAGCAATGGAGGGCCGCCTACGAAGCGGTTGCTGTAAAATGATTGAAGCACAATCTGTATCTCAAGCTGATCATACCGGGGTATTTTTCTTCAGCCCTTCAAATAAGCAGACCAGCTTTTTTCATCAGACTGTTGTGGAGTTTCTGGAACTGTAAGATATATGGACGAAACTGTAATTATTGACGAAAACTCGCCAATTAATCTATCGATAGCTATCATAAGCTCTGCGCTCGCTGAAGTCAAGGCTGTTCCCCTTGGACGCTGCCATCAGCACGATGCAGTAGTGTGAACTGGGGTGAAAGCTAGAGCTCCAGTACATGTACCACCTCGGGACCCCACCATAGATTTTAACCCCACATACGATGATTGCGTATTGACAAGCCAAGTATTCGAACCTCACTTCACTCCTTCTCAACAACCACGCTCCCGCCCTCGCAACATGGCGTCCACAGCTCCCGCGCCATTCGACTTCCCGCGGGAGTACTTCTTCCCCGCCTTCTTCACTCGCCAGACCAACCTCACAACCCTCCACGCGCAGCTCCTGAAGTGGTCCTCCCTCATCCTCGCCTACTGCAAGCACCACCGCATCTTCAAGCTCTCTCTCTCCTCCTCCGTGCCCGCCTCGTCCGCCACGGTCACCCTCGCCGCAAGCACCACCGCCACCACAAACAACGGCAGCGATGCACCCCCGTCGTCCACGGCCGCCGCCGAAGAGCTCTTCTACAACAAGAAGCTGGACCGCCGGCTCGCGCTCGCCGACGTCCGCGAGGTGATTGACTTCATGCGCAAGGACGGGCGCGCCGAGTACGTCGGAGGGGCGGGCGCGACGGCCGGCGACGTCGTGTGGATCTACTGGCGCACGCCTGAGGAGTGGGCGGCGCTGGTGGAGGCGTGGGTGGACGAGACGGCGCAGAAGGGCACGGTGCTGACCCTGTACGAGCTGACGGAGGGCGAGGCGACGCGAGGCACCGAGTTCCACGGCTTAGACCCTGATCTGCTTCAGAAAGCGCTCAGCATCTTGGTGAAGAGGGGCAAGGCCCAGATCTTTGGCCAGGAGGATTCACAAGGTGTCAAGTTCTTCTGAAATGAATCAGGGTTGCCATTCTCCCTCACGACTATCTATACTACATATCAGAACTCCGACAACCTTAGAGCATGACCAGGGCCCAAAGCAGACAAGACCCTCCTCAACAATAGTGACGCCATGCCGACCAAAACTCCGACGCGTATGATGTGACAGCGCAAAAAGACAGACATATTTGGGACATAGACAGAAGCGCCAGGATGCCTTAAGCCTTCTTAAAATACTCGCTGGCAAGATGTGACTTCTTGAAGACCACTTCCTGCTTCATGGCGACATCTAGCAGCCAGTCACTAGCAACAACCCGAGGCTCCATATTTCCCTGTCTCGCCATGTCCTCGAACTTGGACCAGAGCTGACGTTCCGACGGAGAGCCTGATGTGATCAGATAGACGGGTTCGGGTGGTCCGTCCTCCTCTTCCGGCTTCGTAGGCCGGATAGTCGTCCCACTTCTTGCTCGATACACCTTGAATATGGCACCATTCGCTTCTGCAATGGCTCTGAAGCTGTCTGGGCCGTTCTTGATATCGGCCGTGCAATATACAGGGATATTCCACAACAGTTTGCCCTGATTTGCTCGCGCTCTCTTCACCGACTTCTCCAGGTTGATGCCAAACTTGGACTCGTTGGCTTTGTCCTTCAGTTTGTACTTTTCAATGGCAGGAACCTTGCCGGTGGACAAGCAATCCTCGACGAATGTGGAGTTGATGACCTCTGGGCCTTTTGCGAGACAACGGAGGAATTTGATAGTACGCACTACTTGTGGCGCCGCAAGATAATCACATGGCATATTATCTTGGACGATCTGGATGCCCAGACTGCGAAGTTTGCGCTTGAGACACGGTTAGCATGTAGTCAATAACTAATGAGATAATCAACTTACCCTATCGTTATCCTCTTTATTCCTATCTCCAGTCCATCGCTTGAAACTTGTGAGGCAAATCTTCATTTCTACCGGTGGTAGCGAAGGCTTTTGCCGCTTGGCCGGTCGTCTGGCTTCTTCGGTGTCTTCTGGCTCCTCATGCGCAGGACTGGAGCTTCTATCGGCAGTCCTCTCTTTGTCGATCTGGTCAGCTGCCCGCTTTCCTCCCCAGGGACCATGACCGTCCTTCGCCATTCGCTTTCGTTCCTTCTCATACAATGCAATATCAGGGGCAAGGTCCTGAAGCTTGTGCAACGCCTTATCCTTCGCGCTTCGACTGCCACTGGAGTAGACGGAAGGAGTGTCATTCTCCTTGCCAGTTCGGACATGGCGCCCACGTGCCGGTGTGGCAAGCGGCTTGTTAGGCTTTGGAGGAGCTGGCACGCCGAATTGCTTCGTTGTTTTCTTAGAATACTCCGCATCGTCGTCTCTCAAAACATCAAAGTCTTGATGCTCTTGCCGTCCAATGGCCGCGCCTGCTGCCGGGCCATGGCTGTACGCATTTTCCTGTGCCGCTTCTAGGATCTTCCGTTTCCTCTGTGCCGCAGCATCCAGCTCTTCCTCACCACCGGGATAATACATCTCACGAAGCCTGGACTCGTCGAAGAAGGTTTGTCCGATGATCTCACCGAGGTTGGTGCGAGGAGGAAAGTGTACAAATTTGGGACTTGATACACTTAGGAGCTCGCACTTTGCGTAGCTTTCTTCGATCCAGAGGTGGTTGACCATGTGAATGTTCCAGTCCTGAGCAGCGTCACATTTCTCGCTGTTCTTACGAGCTGTAATCAAATGTGTGTTGTCAGCTTTCATGGTCTTTGTGTATTGCGCTCCGGCGGCGGTAACTAGGTTTTCGAGGTAGATACGAGCTTCGCCTCCGTAGTTGGAGAGAGTGATCTTAAGGTCCTTGAATCCCGGTATTCCCCCTTTAGGAATCGGATAATGCAGAAGACATCTGAGTGGAGACGTCCATTCGTTATGTATGATGAGATAATATATCCAGGCAAGATTGCCGACATCCTTGCCCATTTGTGCGGCCCGAATGTATTGTTCGCCATCGCGATATTGGCAGACGAACCAATCGCAATTTTCGACTTCATCTACTGTTTCTCCGCCGCCCTTCTTGACCAATTCTTCAAGGATATCTCGCAGTCTCTTGGTGATTGCAAGATCCCAAGACAGCATGATCTTTTTGTTTTTGAATACTGTCAGCTTTTCACTAGATCGGGTCTGGCAGTCCGCGGTCACTAGCGTAGTATCGGGACGGGCTGATGTTGCACCTTCTAGATGCTGGCTAGAAGGGATGTCAAGCTGGTCTCCTGGTGCCTTGGTCAAAATCTGAGGATCGGGCAACAGATATGGGCCTTCATCAATCTTCTTCCCCAGCTTGAAGCAGTCGTCGAACCTGTACCAGTCAGATAGAGTTAAGCTGCGGGATGCAATCAAGCCTTACCAATGAGGAAGCACTATTTTACACTTCAAATTCTTTTCAAGGGCCTGCCGACACTTTGGGTGGTCAATTGAGAGGGCGCATATATGTGTGGTCATTCGTCCGAGGTCCTTGGATTCTATGCCTCCCATGGCAAGTGTGGCGCCAATGATGGCCTCTTTGTCGGAGGTGGGGATGTCGGCGCAGGTCAGAATGACGCTGGAGAAGATCATCCTGGGGTCAGGAGAGTAAGGCCGGACCTGTGCCTGCTTTCCCTTGTGGAGTGACGTGGTGACCCACGAAGGGGCGACGACAGGCACCATCATGGCCATAGCCTCGTTGTACTCTGGAAAGTCGATCGAGTTGGAAATGATATGTGTGCAGCGAGCAACCGGGAGGGTGCCGTCGGATCTGCGCTCGACGACTTCGGCACCATATTCTTTCACCATGTCGGCCATCTAGACAATTGTGCTGTTAGTAGACAGCAACATATGTACACGACGACGAGGTGCAACCTAGACCTACCTCGTCTACAATGCTCTGTGCCAGATGCTTGCCAGGCACGAATGCCATGGCACAGAGGCCAAAGAGCGGCGCCTTGGAAGAGGAAGCGGCCTGGTCCGCCATCTTGAGTGCGGACCTCGAGTTTCAACGCAGACAGCAGGTGGAAGCAATGCTGTGGTACAGTTCTACATGAAAATGCTTGCCGGACGATGGAGAGAGGGAGTAACAGTATAATGAGACGCGATTGGGAGAGATCCAAGGCGAGCTGGGGGTTGGCCCAAGTATGAGTATGGTCTCTGAAATGGATGGTCGTGATGTCAAGAAAATCGGTCAGCAGACAGCAGGCAGCAAGAGGCAGCCGCAGACTCGAAGGCGTGCTATGCTGGGCGTCAATCTCAGGCAAGAAAGTAAGTGGGTTGGCGTGGAATAACGTGGAAGATACGGGCGCGGGTGGTGGTGGTGGTAGGGAAATCACGGCCTTGTTTAGGCAGGACGCGCTTTTTGGTGGCGACTTGCACGCCAAAAGTGCATTGAGACGCGACTTCCCCACGCTCATCACCTGACCCGCATCGCATCATTACTGTGGGCATTACTATGCAGTAATTAGCTTACAGAAGCTGGGAAAGCACTTAAAGTCGCCCCGTCCCGCCTCCCCCCAGCCCCGGCCAAGCATTCAGCTTGTCTGCCTGGCTGCCTGCCTACAGCTCCTCAGGGTTCCCAGGTAACGTTAGCCCTTGATAAATCATCCTTCAATCCCCTTGGCTTGGTAGAATGACGGTATGTCTTTCCTGACCATCGAGCTCTCAGAAGAGCTAAGTATGAGAAAAATAAATTATGTGTGAGGAACCCAGGGATTCAATCAAACCATGTAATCCTGGAAAAACTATCACAACCTAAATACCTAGGATTTCTCCTCAGGATAATGTGCAGTGTAGTTTTGTGTTGAGTCCATGTAGGTCTTGAGGCGTAGACAATTCATTGATTGCTACGGGAATAAAATGGACCCGATGCTGATTTGGCATGCGTCTCGACTTTGCATGGTCAGCACTTACACTAAATAACTTTACAAGATCTTTGACCTTATACTGTCAGTAAGACTTCAGATCATCGACTTCACCAGTTGCACAGTTGCGCCAGGTGTTGCGGTAGTAGTAACATTGCGGGTGCCCGAGGTGGATTGATCTCGAGCCTCGGCTCCCGTGTCAATTGCCGGTGCGACCTCAGGATGCGGCGGCTTGTAGAGTCTCCGGCCGGATGATAGTTGCGCGGCCGACTACATCTCCTTTCAACACCATACAACTCTTCCAGCCTGGCGATGTAGATTCTTATCGCTCAAGTTTAAGTGGAAACGGTCATCTTCTCACATAATAGACTCGATAGCAATTCTCACGTCTTTCGCCACGACGGCGCATCCACCGGCGGATCCGTCTTGACAAGCTGCCCGCCCCGCATCGACAGCACTGTGAAACCTGCCGAAGAGGCTCTGTTGTGTGTCGACACCTCACCATGTCCTCCGTATTTGAGGTCCGGGAACATGTCTTTGATGCCCAGCATATCCGAGAGTATGCAAGGGCTACAGCCCATTCCCAGGAAGAAGTTCTGAAAGTGGCCGTCAAGCAATACATCCCTAGAGACAATCTGAATCCAAAGCCAGGAGATATCACGGTCATCGCATCTCACGCCAATGGTTTCGTAAAGGTACTAGCAGTTGTGTCATTTCACTCTTTGCGAGATCAAGCTAGCTAAATATCTGGACAGGAATTATACGAACCCTTATGGGAGGATCTCGTCACAGAAGGCCGGAAGCAAGGTCTAAGATTTCGCGGCTTCTGGATTGCAGATGTCGCATGGCAAGGCCAGAGCGGCATTCTCAATGAATCCAAGCTCGGGAATGACCGTATGTCAAATCGCCTTGTATAGATCATCGTGAACCATACCATTTACAAGATGCATGTAGCCTCCTGGATGGACCACGCCCGGGATCTCCTTCACATGACCAACGTCTTCCGGTCCGAGATGCCCCGGCCCCTGATCGGCGCAGGCCACTCCTTTGGCGGCTGCATCGTGACCAACGTGGCGCTCATGCACCCGCGGCTCTTCACCGCGCTGGTCATGATCGACCCCGTCATCTCCAAGTTCAACACCCCCGGGCCAGTATACGGCTTCCTGTCCATGCGGCCCTCCGCCTTCCGCCGCGACCTGTGGCCCTCGCGCGACGCCGCCGCCGAGGGCATCCGCCGCAACAAGTTCTACGCCACCTGGGACCGCCGCGCCGTCGACGCCCTCGTCCGCCACGGCTTCCGCGACACCCCGACGGCCCTCTACCCAGACGAGAAGGGCAAGGCCACCCTCGCGACGACCAAGCACCACGAGGTCTTCACCTACTACCGGCCGACGCTCCAGGGGCTCAGCGCCGACGGCAAGCGCGTGCTCGACGCGAGCAAACTGGCCGACGTCAACCCCGCCGAGCTGGCCGCGTACCCGGACTACCCCTTCTACAGACCCGAGACGGCGCTGACAACAGAAAAGCTCCCCAACCTGCGACCGCCTGTGATATGGCTGGTAGGAGGCAAGAGTAATGTTTGTGGACCGGAGCAGCGGAAAGAGAAGATGGACCTGACGGGGATCGGCATCGGTGGCAGTGGCGGTGTGAAGTCTGGCAAGGTGAAGATGGTCGTTTTTGAGGAGTATGGTCATCTGGTGGCCATGGAAATCCCATCGAAACTAGCCCAGCATGCCGCCAGCTTCATCGCCCCTGAAATAGAGAGGTGGCGAGAGGAGCAGCAGGAGTACGAGCGCTGGGCACGAAAAGATGACAGGTCGAAGCAAACATTGGATGACGACTGGATAGCGATGATCAACTCTGTAAAAGTTCCAGGTGCTCCGGCACCGAAACCCAAGATATAGGAATATACTGTACAGTAAAGAGCAAGACAAAAGCGTCATGTATGCATGACCTCTCCATGATCTATTGGCCTATCGCATGCATGTCGCTCAGCTATCATGTGTCGTTTCGTGTCTCATTATATAATGTCTGGCAAGCACCTTGCCACCCCCTTTATTGAGACGCTACATCCTGCTTTCCTGGTACATAAACCACAAAACCGTCCTTGTCCAGCTTCATGCCCTCGGTCGGGATTACTCTCAGGACTTTCTGGAAGTATTTATCTCGCACCACTAGGGTTGGCTTGATCCAGGTTTCCTTGACCCAAGCATCCTCCACAAGTGGAAGCAGTCGATAAACAGTAGATCGACGAGAGAGAGGCAAGAGATGCATAGTCGTCTGCTTGGAGCCAGAAAAGGCAAACTCTTCACTGGGGTCCATCGTCAGGCCAAATGTGAGGAAGTGATTTGATGGGTTCTCGATCGTGATTTGCAGCAGGACAAGCCTCGGGTCATTCATCGTGTAAGAGACAGATGCCAATACGCGTGGCTCAGAGCCGAAGATATTCAATCGGGGCACTGGCAAGATGGTCCTGTTGATGACCTCTTCTTCCCCCAGGCGAGTCCATTTGATTAGGAAAGTCACGTCAAGGCTGACAGGATTTCGGTCATCTAGGCTAGACTTCTGTGCCACTACTTCGAATTCCGCATCCTGAATCTTACTAGGGCTGACCAATATGCCTTCTGCAGGAGTCTTCTCTCGTTTGGTGACGTGGCAGCGGACACCATGAGCAGGTGCGACATCGATATCCAGGTCTGTAACCTTGAGGTCGTCTGAAGCGAAAGAGGCATAGTGTGTGGCGAGGCGCCATGCTTGGGACAAACCTCGAGGTTGCTGTGAAGCATGACTGTCATTGTCGAAGCCTTGCACGCCCTCGTAATCGAACAGACTTGGCCAAGCATCCGTATGTAGGCTCGGGAAAAGATCATAGTTCGCCTCAAAGGGGCTTGCAATGTCGAGGTGAAACTCTGAAGTTTGAACGATTGGCGTAGCTGGGTCTGTGACAAGGTTGTAGTGCGCCTTTAGTGTCAATGTGTATGCGCTCGTTCGTTCCAGTGGTGTCAAGAAAATATTTACACGATTTGACTCAGAACTCTTGAGGACATCGAGTGGGATAGCCAGCAGCTTCGACTCGTCGCCATCTGCGAGCGCTCGGCTCTCGTCCTTATCAGAGACCTTCACTCTGAAGTTTGGTGGATCTTCACCTAGTACAACAATGTCAAGTTTGACCTGAGCATCCGCATCTTCCTCGTTGACAATATCGAAAGCAAGCTCGATAAGCTCGTTAGTGTAATATTGACCTCTTAGGTTTAATGGCTTGATCTCCATCTTCGGCGGCCGAGGCAAAATCCGAATTGAGTGCGGATGCGTCCTTGCAATCCGTTTTCTAGATGACGAGGAAGCAAACCATATATTCGCCGTCCCAGAGGTGGCAACTTGTATAGTGTGCTCCAGTGTAAAGGCATCGTTGTCTACAACAAATGTAAGTGAAATGGCTCTGGCATCACCAGCCTCTCTCAAAGGTATGGCCATATTCAATACGATAGTTTGCCCCGGGGCCAAGGCCAAGTCTCCATAGCCCTTTAAAGTGCCGGAGCTCTCACCAGTCTCATCAGTAGACTCCGAACCTTCTTCCTTCAGACTCACTGACTGAAGCAGCACATGACCGCGTGCTAAAGAAGATCCATGCTGACTCGAATCATGTTCTATACTTATAGGCTTTATGCTTCCGCCAAAGTCGATGCTCAGTCGCTGGAAGACGACTTCAGCCGAATCTGAGAATGCATTTGAGGATATAGAAAGTTGCGCCTGAGCTGTCTGGCCGGCTTTGCCTTCTTCATGTCGGAATAGAAACGACGTCGAGAGGAAGGACGGTACCAGATCATCTGTTGTCTTGATGTATTGCTTGGAGATATTTAAACCGTCAAGAGACTTGGATAGGTCATACTGCCAGTTCTGACGCCTTGTGAATTCTGCGCCATTAAGTTAGGGCCGACTTGAGACAAATATCAAGTATAGATAAGACCTACGTTTATTAAGGAGAACCCAATCAATGGGCACGACGATGTCAGCTTGTGCAGTAAATGCTGCCGCTGCCCTCAGAGTCCATGCGAGGTCTTCAATAATATCCAACCACCCCTCCGCCCGTAGCGAGCCGTCTTCCCAGAGCGGACGCAGAAGTTGAAGCACACCTTGCCAGTCCTTGACCGAAGCATATTCTCTTGCGCACTCCATGGACAACTCGGCTGCCAGACGACGCTGACCCCTTTCAGTAAAACGGGACTCAGCTGCCGTAAGATATTTAAGAATCATTTGGGAGTGATTTACGCCAGATTGGCCAACCAAAGGAAGTTCTTCATATGGTTCTGGGCACATATACGTGTCATATGTGAAAGCCTTGCTAGCAACTTGTGATGCAGGAGACATACTAGGAGGTCGTCTGTCATCCTCCGGAATTGCACGTGCAAAGTGTCGACGGGCAAATGTATGACGAGCGGCCGACCGATACCAATAGCCTGTGTGATGTAGAAGCTCCCATGGTTGAAGACGCTCGCCCATAACAAGTTTCTCTGGTGGCATAAAGAGCAGAGTGTTTGAGGCCTCAAAGTTGTTAATGCCCATCTTCTCAACCAGATCAGCCATTACGATAGCCCAGCGTGCTTCCCAGGCTTTCCAGCCATAATTATTCGTTCCACGGCCTCTCCTATCCAGGAAGTCAGCTATACGCTCGCGGTGAGATTGCCAACGCCTCACGGCTGCCGTATACTGATCATTCCATAAAAGACAGCGTATGCAACGGATGGTGATGATATCAGAAAGAAGTCTAGCCTCATTCCACCTTAGACTCCAGCTTGGAATGACCTCAAGGATCTCAGCGCTGAGTAATGTTTCGTAAGCTTGCTCATATGACCTCAATGCGACATCCATTTCTTGTCTATACTCGGCAAAGATGGCCGACTTGAAATCATATCGGACGTTCCAGCCAAAAAGGGATAGTGTCTGTGATGTGCCTGAGGTGGGTGGAACAGTTGGTTGCGGTACCACTCCACGGCCTCTCTTCTTCCTTGCATGCCTGCCTAGGTCACGGTAGTACTCTAGGGCCTGCCCATAGATAGTCACCAATGCATTATCAGATATCCTTTCCAGATCTTCTTGTGAACTGTGGGTTGGAATGGAGAAGAACGACTTCGGGTCCAAGCCTGCTCCCTTCCGAATGTTATCCAATCGCTCTTGTACGCCTTCAGCCGACGGCGAGGTCTGATCCACGAGTATAATTACAGCTAGACGGGATTTATAGCCGGACTGTAACAACGCGTTTCGGATGCCACCTATATCAGTCTTAATCTTGTTATCATGAAGCGTAGACAGAGTAGGGTCCGTCGTCAGGCTATACAAGTATACAAAGACACTCGGTATAAGCTCCTGGTGCTTTTTGAGCCATCTGATGTCAACTAGGCCGTCGGGATAGAGATGACATGCAGGGCTCAAAGGTGAGAAGGGAGAATGTAAGATAGGTGGGGACTCTGGAGGATCGAAGTTTTCAGGAAGTCTCGCTCGTCTCGAGGGAAGAAGGTAGCTCTGTCGCTAATTATCAGCATCCACAACCTCGAACCTCAGATCGAACTTACTCTTCCAGCGGTCCTCACTCGAAACCTATATTTTCTTGCAGCGTCCGAATGTTTTATATACTGGATCAGTGGAGATGCTTGTTCGGTCTCGACTGGTGGTGGCTCTGAGCGAAGAAGTATGGCCTCCTCTTTCAAATCAAAGTCCAGAGTAGGTTCATCAACAAACTCTGCAGGAGCTCCAAGGATCGTGAGGAGTGGGACATTATGGTCCAGGCTCAAAGGCGGGTATTCGTCCATGACGGCGAGTTTGTTAAAGCTGGCATTGAGCAGTAGCGAGGCTGATACGCTTGAATCGAACCTTCGTTCAGCTCTTTCTGGAGAGAACAACGATCTATGATACAGTCAGCAATCCAAAGCCCAACAGTCTCAACTAGAACTGTATGCATTTTGACTGACCAGAGCCCCATTGCTTGGCCACCCCTGACTTCTCTACGCTTTACAAGGCCTCGCAGTTGGACTCGGCCACACTTCAACACTCGCAAAGATCCATAAACACTGTGCTTAAAACATGGTCATCTAAAAAGCAGTCAGATTGATGTTCGAGTGTTTATTTCGTGCGAGCAAGATCACGGAAATGCAGCTTAGCTACCTGAGCATGGGCCTCGCAGGTGGGATGAGCTCCGATTAGATGAGCTCCCGTCGCGGGCAAGCGGTGAGACGTGGCAGAACCTCGAGGCCTGGCGTCACTCTCAAGCCACAGCAACTTTTCGGTCCAACCCTTGGAAGGCCTAAAGCATGTGCCGGGGGTTGCCGCAACAGTGCAGCCTCGCCAGTCACTCGCCCGCCTTGTCTTCTGCAACCAGACTTCCCCCAGCTCTCCGCCCACTCCCTCACACTTTATGTTCCAATTGCGAGAGTACGCCTAAAGTCGCTGGAAACGTTCGGTCGCGCGTGTCGGATCTGATTCATTCTTCTTACTATTGACGTATCCAATTCCTCTTCGTTAGATCAACGCCGTCGCAGGCGTTGAAGGGCCGCCAGCAACGCCCGCCCTCTTTTGCCCATCACCGTCACCGTCAACCAAACCACCACAGTCTCGACACGATGTCGACCTCTAGGGAGCAGCAAATTCTCATAGCCGAGACGATCAGGGCTATGAAGAAGGCTGTTAAAAGGAAAGCCTACGGTAATTATTGACATACGACCCTTGCTAGACACCGCGCGCGCATACTGATCAGCCACTCCCGCCTGTAGAATCCGACTCCGACTCGTCGATTGAATACACCACAAACCGCGGTCACAAGTTGAAGAAGAGAGCGCGCTTCGTCCGCGAAGGCAAACTTGGACCCCCGACTGGCCCTGCTGTATACAAAGAGGTCCGTCATGAATGCCGACACTCTTACCAATTCACGCCCTCGCTGACGCCAAAGATCTAGGTCGTTGAACACGCTGGCTATCAGCGCGCAATTATAAGCCGAAACCCTCCTCTTATCGACGAAGACGGCTACGACATTGACAGCGCAGACGATGAAGAGCAAGTCCAGGAGGCGATTGCCTCTGCTGCAGAGGTGGACCCATACTCGTCTATCCACCTTGAAAGTGCGTTCCCCTTCGAAGTTGGCTGTCTATCAGGTCTTCTAACTTGGATTCAGGCCTACTTGCCCCTCTGACGGCCGTTACCGACCTGCCACATCATCCCACAATGTCCCGACCGTTCACGTCGAAATCCCTGACCGATCTAGCCGTACAAGGACGAAACCTCATGTACAAGGAGAACGCTGCGCTCTGGAAGGTCAGACCACTCCTTACGAGGCTGACAGGAGACCACACTTGGGTCAATTGCGAGAAGATGCTAGGGCCAAGCGACTTTGATTACTTCTCCGACGACTTCACAGCAAGGCTACTCCACCAAGGGACAAATGGCTCGACAGAGGACGAGATCGAGAGGATAGTAACCCCAAAGGCCAACGGAGGCTCTGGAACAATAAACGGCAGCAATGGCGACAAGCCTAGCACTTCAGATGTGGATCATGATCAGGAGACAGAGGCCGCACAGGATGTTTCAATGTCCGACGCCCCTGTACCAGAGATCGATCCTGTAGAGACGAACAAGAGTAAGGACGAGTCAAGCAGTATAGACGGAGACAAGACAGCGCAAGATGCAGATGCTGACAAAGAAGACGTACCGAAACCAAAAGATGAGCCAAACGGTGAAGCGTCAAATGAGAAGAGAGACGAGACAGTCAAAGAGGCTGAAAAGGACATTGAGAAAGGCGGCGGTGACGTCGAGATGACAGATGGAGTTACCGTTGATGAGCCGCCCAAGTCCACTTCAGATCCCAACGATGCTCACAGCCGGGCAATGTCTGCGACTCCTGCTGCCTCAGACGAGTCCTTCATCCACCCCATCTTCCTTGCCCCTGCATCAGCCCATCCGGATCGAGACAACGGGCTCCCAGACCAGGAGGCCGAGGATGTCCGAAGGCTTCTTCAGCTCTACATTCAAAAGCAGGAGGAGGTCTGTCGCGGAACTAAGAAGCTCTATGAGGGGCTTCTCAAAGCAGATCGATTACGGAAGACGGTTCTCTCATGGTCGAAGGCTGAGGCACATATCGGTCCCGGCCGAGACATGTCTGATGGCGAGGACTGGTACGACAAAGAAGAATGGGGCCTCACGGACGACCTTAAGAAGGGACAAGACGAAGAGGAGGAAGACACGACTCAAACACAGAAGAAGACTCGCAATAGGAAGTAGAGTGTGCCTTTTTAACTGCATTGGCATGTTCGGTTCCATGTAGCTTGACAAGCTACTTCTAGTTGTTCGGATGACCAGTTTAGATTTTCAATGATACACCCAATTCGACCTGACACTTTTCTCTAGAATGACTATCACTTGTAGAACGAATGGTGTGTCAGTGCTGGAACCTTGGGTGGGTGGGAGCCTGACATGTCTGCTATCGTGATCAGGCTCTTGTCGACACTTACTGTATGACTCCTCACAATGACTGTGGTCATACTACCCTACACTGGCACCGACCTTTGAGTCAGAGGAAGAAATGCCTTTCAATTTGATAACGCTAAGATCATCGTTGGGGTATAACTGTGCATGCTCACTAAGACGCCTACCAATTGACTAAAGTATCACTTCACCCCTGAAACATGTCCCTGATGCCACACGACCTTGCAGCATGCATCCTGCCTGAGACTTTCAAAGTGACCCTCAACCTGTAGAGTGAAAATGCACGCAAGTGAATAGAATAGGGGTGGGAAGAAGAAAATCAAGAAAACAACGCTCGCTGGTTCCTGTCCTTGTGAGTAGCCTCTTGTCATAACCTCATAAAATACATACAGTTACCCCTATCATCCTGGCTTTCAAGACGTATACGGCAGGCGGTATGGTACGGCAGAATGCCGACCCAGACCTAGCGCCATAGCCACTCGGCCATTTGGTACTTCTGCATACCCGCTTAATAGCAGGGATCCGGAGGTACTCACGGACCATCCCACGAACATCCCATCGATGTGTCCGCTTAGATGTAGTACATCGAGTCCCTGAGGTTCGCATGCACCTGGCGGTTCACAATCACCGCGCGTTGCTGAGCGGTCATGGCGTTGGCGGGAGCGTCGAACAGCGCAGCCATGTGGACTCGAGCTCGGGTGCAGACGATGTCCGCGTAGTAGGCCGGAGGACAGATGCTGACTGCCTTGGTGGCCCGCCCGAACAGGTAGCTCATATGGTGCACGAGCTGCTCCAGAATGTCAGCCGCCCTGAGGCCCACGCTGTCTCGGAAGATCTCGTCAAGGAGGACAACGTATCGTGCGGGCTTGGCAGTTCCTGGAGGGCTGTATGTTAGCTTATCGGAGTTGCATGCTTGTCTCCTAGGGAAAAGGGGGGAAACTTACCTTGGATGGCGCTGTGAGACGTCAAGAAGAACTCCCAGTATTTGGCCTGAGTAACACCGCGGTCGACAACCGTACCATTCGTGATGTTGCGCGACCTTCCCATATGGTCGGTGGTAGTTGGGTAGAAGCGTGTGTGATGCCTCTTCACCGACACAATGATAGAAATGCGAGGCTTCTGCATGTCCTTATACTTCAAATCGATGGCCTTGCGGATTTTAGGCAGCTCGTTGTCCAAAACTTGCTTGAATTGGCCCTCAGAGACGCCATCTCTGAATATCAGGATCTCTTGGGGGAGCCGCTGCCTATTGTGCTTCTGCCACAAATCAAGACGTGACACAAACGCTTGCACCAACTTGTCATCCAGCATTTCCGTCTTTCCCCGCTGGTTCCAATAGGTACACGGCCACTGACCTAGGTGTCCGTCAATGCTGGCAACCAGGCCAACTTGACTGGGCAAGTCCCCCCCATCGGTCGGCAGGTTTGTGGGGTGAATGACATCGTATCCCACCACCATCACAGTGCCGGAGGTGATTCTGCCCAGCGCTGCAGTGCTCTGCAGGCTGTGATTCACACCACCTGTCTTCAAGTTGAACTTGAGAGCCAGATTCGAGAAAGTGCTAAGGTTGTAAGGTTTGTTGCTCTCTGGCCTGTGATCGCTCTTGAGCAATGTCTTCTTCACGATGCACACAGTGTGAAAGCCGAACTCGATATCGGCCAAGTATTTGACCGCGTTATAGACAGCAGACTCCTGGTCTGGAAGGACGACCAATGCAATATCTGGCAACATGTTGCTATCCTTGGCCTTCTGCAGTTGTTCCTGAAGAGGTGTGAGAGCATCATCCAAATGATTGCCCTGAATGACAACCTTCATAGCATCTGGGTGGAGCGCATCTGGGTGCAGGTTGACCTTCATGTTTTTGATCATGAATCTCATGCACTCGGCGGTGATTCTCTTTGCCTTGTTGTTGTCGAATTCATCTGGGAGCTGATATCGAGTAATGTGAATCCATGTCCACTTCTTCTTTTGTGGCCCTGGGGTAATGACCTCGACATTGTTCATGTTCCAGGAGCCTTCACGTGGCGTGACCTGCTTGCCGTCATTGTACTTGATAGCCGGCGCGGTCAACTCGCGGCCCGGGACAGTGATAAGCCGAGGATTCACTGTGAGGCCAAAGTTTTGCTGAATAGTGTTAGATAATCAGCAGGCTACAGATGCTATGGTCACGACATGTAATTCTGAAACTTACCAGAACTGGATTTGAGTCAAGCCTGAGCACCTGTCTACCAACCGTAGAAATTGATGTCGCGTTGGCAAAAGGTGAGCGACATGCAAACCGGATCATGTCTTGAGCCTGATCGGCCAAAAGCCTGCTCCGAGAGGGTTGTCCGGGGATGATCTCGCAGAACTCTGCCGGATAGAAGCTCGGCTTCGTCGTCGTGCCTGTGTTGATTACCGGAAGGTGATCAATCAGCTTCTGACCGTATCCTATGGAAAGATCAGTACGAGTTCAGATTAGAGGAGATGAAGGCACAGTACGCTTCAAGTAATAGTCCTTCACCGACACAAATTGGTTCCATTGCAAGCCAGGAGGGGGCGTCTGGGAAGAGTTCCTCTGCACTTCGAGCAAGAATTGAACGTCTCCAGGTCCGCCATAGTCCTTGAAGACCTTGAACTTTCGTGGCTGGCCATCATTCGGCGTCCTTTGTGCGAAACCCGTAATGGTCTTCTCTACTTCGGTATATTTACCGTTCATGTCGGAATACATTCGGCATTTGATGCGTGCTCGGTTGAGTGATGTCATCACCGTTGCCAAGGTCCGTGGATGAAGTCCAAACCTCTCAAGTAGCGTTTGCAGGTTTCCCGCAGGTCGAAAGATACCATGCGTGACATTGACGTTCAGCAGAATGCGGTCTGTTGCAGCTCGTACGCTTTGGAAGTAACCTCGAATGATCTGAAGCACTCTTGGGTTTCCAATGGCTTCCCTCTGGCTCTCCAGATTCAGGGGGAAGTGGCTTCCCCTACCAACAGAGGCAACAGCCCTATCAGTTCTAGCACTGTGGGCTAAGATCACTCCCAGAGCACCAATAAGATCCTCAAAACGAGAATACGAATTGTCGTCGGAAACTGTGACGTTCTGCTGCGAGAGAAATTCGACGAGACCATTTGTCAAGAGTATGGTCGGTCCATCAAAAGTCACCCGATAGAGGAAGGAATCTCTGCCTGGTTCTGCGTAGTTCTTCTCCACAAAACCATTGGGCACGTTTAGTGGTTTCAATGAGATTACTTGGCTCTTGTACTCTGTTGCGTACGGGATCCCTCTGCTGACTTCCTCGAGGACTGACCTGATGATCTCCTCTCGGCTTCGTCCAAACACCTTCTCCCTCTCGGGGTCCGTGTTTCCCTGAATCACACGGGTGACTTCGACGATATACTTGTGCAATGCCTGTAAGCCATTGTGCGTTACAGAGAAGTAGTTTGCCCACAACGTGACCGCTTTCCCCTGCGTACCGAAAGATGGGCGGAGTGGGAGAGCATTGCCTGTATTCTTGAGCTGCCTCTTGTCAAGGCTGAGTTTAGCTGTCTCTGTAGTCACCTGCTGGAGACTGAAACTGTTTTCGGTAGTCGTGACAGAATTATCATAGCTTGGGATCCCATTGGCACTTTGCCTGTATAAGTTTAGTAAGTGTAACTAAATTCAGCGTCATTTTGGTGCAACAAACCCAAAGAATTCCTCTTCACCAGAAAATCTATCAGCTCCCTGCCCAAAGCTAGATCCGCCACGGCCGCGATATGACTGTGATGTACCACGCGGCGAGTCAGAGCTACCTCGGTCTCCGCGATAAGATCCGCCTCTGGGAGCAAATTGACCGGCAGTGGCGTTGGAACCAACGTTTGACTGATATTGCTGGCCACCACGAAAACCACCGCGGGAATCACCACGAGAGGCACCTCGCGAATCACCGCGAGCGCCGCCCCGTCCCCCTCTCGCGTCTCCTTGACCGCGAGATCCAGAGCCATAGCCACCCCTATTCTGCTGCTGGCTCTGACCTCCGCGGGTCTCGGATCTTCCTCTTCCTCTGTCGCCGCTAGGACCTGATCCACCCCGGTTCTGGTAACCAGACATGGTGTTGGTTGAAGTATCTAGACGTCGATGTTCCAAAATAAATTGGTATGTAAGTTGAGATGTATGCTCTCAAATCCTCTGATATGTAAGAGCTGTTGATGTTGGTGATATAAGGAGCAAGGTGGGATAAGCTCAGGATTTGGCAAGTTATTTATACCAACGCAAGGGGTTCAGCAAGACACAAAGACCCGGTCAGGTCATGGTTTGAGCAAGACCTTGTTGGCGAGTGATGACTGTCTCTGAGTAAGAGGGGTGTGATTTGGTATGAGCAACGAGGTGCGTGAAGCTACGGGAAGAAGGAGTTGTGGTGTAAGTCCTTGCCGGGATGTGAACGAGAGATGAAAACAATGGTGGAGTCTAGCAATGACGCTAGCAAACAGCAAGATGAGAGCGAGGAGTCAAAGCTGGGTTGTTATTTGGATGAAGGGAAGTGTCTTGGTTGTCTCCAAGATCTGTAAATCCGTAACCGCTGCTGCTGCGCACAGGAAGACGACGAGACCAGGACAGTGATAGCAAGGGAAAAATGATTTCAGAGCAAGGCCTCATAAATACTATATCGGAGAAGGGTAATTCAAGTCTTTTGGGTGTACCCTGTTTAAGAAAAAGAATGGAAGGAAGTTATGGAATGGTATCGAAGCAATGGAAGAGATGAGTAGCAGGTTTGTTTGCTGCCTTTACTCAAAGAGAGAGCAGCGAAGCAAAGAAAAAGCAAAATAAACTAGAATAATGAGATTAGAAAGAAGTAAGCTGGTGAGGCTGGGTAAGGTGAGCAAACAATAGGTGATTGTCCACCTGAGATTGTTGATGGATGGTGTGTTGGTGGGCCTCTGGCAGGAAGGAGGCGAAAGAGGTGCTCAGGGAACTGGTTAGCGTCCAAGGACCTCTAATTTATACTCAAGATTGCGGAAGCAATCCGGCCCTCCTATTGCATGTGATGTTGGCTGGAGCTTTCCTGGAACCCCCGCAAATTTAGAGCTCTGCTGTCAATGGATTGGGCAAGCTCTCAAAGAGCTGATGTTGCAGGTTGGATGGTGAACCCTCAGGTAAATGTGTAGGGTGGGGTTAATATGTGGGGGAGTTGTACATGTCTCGAAGACATTAAGAGGCTAGATAGGAAGGCACGACAGCTTTTCCAAATCGAACCCTGTAAGTTCTTATTGCTTTTGAGTGCGATCAAGCTCAATGGCCGAGTTTGTCTTGTTTGAACAAGAGCTGGAAGTTGGGCGCAGCACCAGGGTCTATGACAGGCAGGTAAACTACCTGTAATGCTGCGGAGCTCCTGCTTTGGTCCTGCTCACCGCCTATTGTATTTCCTTCTGTTCTCTTCTGTTTCAGTTCATTCCAGTTTCAGGTTTAATCTGTTATTGGTTCAGATATCCAAAAAAGGTGACTAGATCTATCAGACGAAAAATCGCCATGAGTTGAACTGTAAACATGGGATGGGATGAGCATGTATTATTACAGCCATCAGTTGCTGTACAATGGTCAAATGCAGACCCCTACTGTGACATAGCATCATTACACTCATCGACAGGGCATCCATGCAGAAATTGCCTGACAAGGGAACAAAACAATAATCAGATATTGAAGCTCAGCAGCGGATGTAACACAAACTCATTCTCAACGATGACGAGTTTCTGTGTTAATCTTACCACAATCACAAGCTGGAAGCCTCTCATCACGATCATTACCGGTTAGGACATTACACATGAGTCAAAGGGGGAGAAGGAAGAAATGACCTGTATACTACGAGCAACAAGTTGTTTACTCAGGAATTGAAGACTCACAGACACGATTATGTGCGAGACTTTGGTAAATCGAGGTCTAAGAGCCGCATCAATCCGGAAAGCAACTACCTAGGGTTGCAGTGGGCTTTACTCCACATAAACGCTCCATCGAGGAGCCGATCCACACCAACCGGCTCAAAACAACTTACCTGAGCAAGTGCTGCTTACATTGAGGAGGACCATGGGTAGTTGGAATTGGATAGTAACAATAGTAAAATACTGCAAAAAGCTGTTCCTACAGTACATGCCTCGATCTTTCAAGTCATCCACAAGTAGGAGGAATCTAGTTCAACAGGCTGACTGCGCATTGCTGCACGTTGCTCCGTTTACTACCTTCGTCGAGGAACCACTTGCTTCTGCAGTACCGGTACACGCTTGCCAAGAAACTGAGTTGGTTGGTTATCTATCTTTGGCGCTCTGTTGGAGTCAAATACGTTCCTGATAAGAATATCAAAGACAATGTAGCTTGCTTGGCCTCTCATTGAACAAGCTTGATTACTAGATGGATCATCAAAGATCGCGATGTCGGTAATCCACTCTTTCAACTACATAGGACTCTAGAGAGCCGCTAACACTTACTATGTACACCAGCGAAGGACCTTTTGGGCATGTGCATGTTCTAGATCTCGACTTGGGGGCGGGCGGCCCACAGTTGCAGTTGCCTCGCTGATCAATTTCTCCAGTGGCCGACAGCTGCTGGGTGCTGGGGGCAGAAGGATGCCTGTGCACACTGCACACTGGCTGCTGGGAGCTCGGGCGCGGTCTCGGGGTGTTTTTCCCTGATCCATTATCCCAGAAGGACAGCGGACCCCGCAGATTTTCCTCCAATCAGGGCCGTCCCCACGGGTATCCACGGTGCGATCTGCTGCCCCCGTGCTACCCCCACAGTGAGTTTTTACTGGAGCTCTGAGCCTGCAACTGCGTAATAGACTATTGAGTCTCAGTAGTCTCAGTACCTAAGCATGCTAAGGTAGCGGTGCTGTGATACCCCAAGAGTTCACTTCCCACACTCCCACACTCCCACACTCTCTCCTCACACTGCCCTGCCCAGCCTTTTCCCGTTCCGCCTCCTTGAGCCCAGCTCGGCCTTCGCAATAAATACCGCGGGCCTCCCGATCTGACATATCCTGCGATGGGGCACCTGCCGCCTTCCTTTCCAACCGCCTGCCGTTGCTTCGCGATCCTCCGTTCAGCGCCGAGGAGCTCCCACGTTGCCTTCAGGAGACACTACCGCGCGTCTAGCTGGCGACTCAAGAGACTCCCGCACCTCTGCTAGGGCCAGGGGTCGTCTTGTGACGCCGCAGCTGTACGACCACCGCCTGTTCCTCTTCATAATCATATTCACATTCAACCACAACCGCCATCCTCGCGCTCACCCCGCGTCTCGATATACTGCCGATCCTCCCCTCAAGCGAGCTTTCATACCGCCCGCAGAGTCTCGGCGCCGCAACGCTCGTCCCCCCCTTATAGTCCCCGCGACGCTGTCAAGAAGCCTCCTCATCCTCCTCTGCCACCACACAACCCCTTCGCCATGCCTGACAGCGACCGGGAAAGCAAACGGCCTCGCTTGGCGAACGGTGTAAACGAAGATGGCACTCTTTCACATCACCCGTCGGAAGAGCATCTTCCTCAGGGTATCACAGAGACGGAAGCCGAGCTGCGGGAACACTGGTTCGTCGGTAGCATCGACCAGGGCACCACGTCCACGCGCTTCCTGATCTTCAATGGCGAGGGAGACGTCGTCGTGAGCCACCAGATCGAGTTCGAGAACCTATACCCGGAATCTGGGTGAGTCTAAACCTCATTGATACCCTAATTAAACGCAGCGTGCTGATTGTGACGTCACTGTAGCTGGCACGAACATGAACCCTTGGAGCTGCTCACCTCGGTGGAAGACTGCATGGAAGGGGCAATGGCCAAGTTCGCTGAGCTTGGTCGCTCAGCGGCCGATATACGAGCAATCGGAATTACAAACCAGCGGGAGACGACCGTCGTCTGGGACAAGCACACCGGGGAGCCACTGCACAACGCCGTAGTCTGGCCGGACACTCGAACCACTAACCTCGTGCGCGAGCTGAAGACCCGAGATGGTGCGGATGAGCTGCAACAACTCTGCGGCCTTCCTCTATCCACATACCCCAGCAGCGTCAAGCTGTTGTGGCTCCTGGAAAACGTCGACGCCGTCAAGAAGGCGTACGACGAGAGCCGACTTGTCTTCGGAACGGTCGACTCGTGGTTGATATATAAGCTGAACGGGGGCAACGATGCTCCGGAGCCAATCCACGTCACGGACAGCACCAACGCCAGCCGGACCATGTTCATGAACTTGCGAACGCTGCAATACGACGACAAGCTACTCTCCTTCTTCGGGCTCGACAAGTCCAAAATCAGCCTTCCCACCATTGTGCCCTCGTCAAGCGACACCGCGTTCGGCAAGGTCTCCAAGGGCGCTCTGGCCGGCATCCGCATCGCGGGCTGCCTGGGCGACCAGTCTAGCGCATTGGTCGGCCAGTGCGGCTTCAGCCCGGGCCAGGCCAAGAACACGTACGGCACCGGCTGCTTCCTGCTCTACAACGTCGGCACTGAGCCCGTCATCTCCAACTCCGGCCTGCTGGCCACCGTGGCCTACGACTTTGGCAAGGGCCGCAAGCCCGTGTACGCACTTGAGGGCAGCATTGCCGTTGCCGGCGCGGGCGTCAAGTTCCTGATGCAGAACTGGGGCTTCTTTGAGAAGTCGAGCGAGATTACCGACCTAGCGGAGACGGTCCAGGACAACGGCGGCGTCGTCTTCGTCACGGCGTTCAGCGGCCTGTTTGCGCCGTACTGGATCGACGACGCCAAGGGAACACTATGTAAGTTTTGACAACTTGTCTGGCTTTACCACGGGCAAGAGCTGACATCGTATCAAGTCGGTATCACACAGCACACGCAAAAGGGGCACATCGCCCGCGCCACCCTCGAGGCGACGTGCTACCAGACCAAGGCCATCCTGGACGCGATGGAGCAGGACTCGGGCCACAAGCTCGAGAACCTGGCCGTGGACGGCGGGCTGTCGGCGTCGGACCTGTGCATGCAGACGCAGGCCGACATCAGCGGCATCCCCGTCGACCGGCCCGCGATGCGCGAGACGACCGCCCTCGGCGCCGCCATCGCCGCCGGCCTGGCCACCGGCGTGTGGGACGAGCTCGAGGAGCTCGAGAACGTCAACCGCAACGGCCGCAAGGTCTTCCAGCCCCAGATGGCCAAGGCCCAGAGCGAGCGCATGTTCAAGAAGTGGAACCAGGCCGTCGAGATGAGCCGCGGGTGGGTGAACGACCAGCACGACGAGTGAGCGAGTGAGCAAGAGAGCAGGCGGGCCATAATGATATCAAGAGAGCCGATGAACTGTACAAATGGGGCCAAGCAAGTGGCGGTGGTGTATACTGTATGATGTGGTGACACTCATACCTACCTTAACTTAATATGTCACCTTAGCGTTGAGAAGCATAGCGGACGAAAAAGGGGACCAGATCACGATAACATGACAAAAAGGGGCTCTCGCGCCAACAGAAGATTGTAGATGGGAGAGAAGGTCTGATCACCTTTGTTTTTAAAATGTAGTAATATTGCTGAATCCTAAAAATGATACCATCGCTGGCCGTCGCTAGATACCCTCCTGATTCCTCTCTAGTCTGGGTATCAAATGTCAATCCTATGAGAAAAGTCGAAACACGGCAGGGACGCTTGATGAGTCGTGAACAGGAAAACAAGAGCCTTAAGGAGCGAAGACAGGAAATCGTAACCGATCGTCAACAACGGTCCTTGAGATCTCCACGTCACGCATTCTTCTTCCTAGCTTCAACGTACGCCCCGTCCTCATCGCCACTCTCGTCTTCGTCCTGCAGCTCAAACGCCTTCTTCCCCTGGCTCTGACGCCGGCGCATTTCTCCCCGCTCACGCATCTCCTCGCGGATCTTCCTACTGACCTCTTCAAGATTCTCCTTAGAGTCCAAGGTCGTGAATCCACTGATAGGGAACCCGCTCGACCCAAAAAGACCCCCGCTACTGCTGCTCCGGCTCCTAGACCGCGAGGGCGGACGCGTAGAGAAGATGTTGACCTTGCCAATGTTGCTGAACGACTCGTTTTTTGGGATGCCCCGACTGGAGGCCGTGGTATCGCGTCTGGTAACGCCTCTGGGAGGACTCTCCACATCGAAGCCAGTGCTGGACATATCGCTGTCGCGCCTTCGGAGGCTCTCGCGGGTAGGCGAAGCTGGTCCGCTGTCATCCCTCAGTGGATCAGAGACAAGCCTGGTCTTCTCGAAGTCAGGGAACATCTCAGGTCCGAGTTCGTTAATAACCTCGGTGACCTGGTGGCTCAACTCCGATCTTCTGACTCGCAAGTTCTGGATGTTGTAACTGGAGGAAGGGTTGATGCACATGACTAGTGGTCGCAGAGACTTGAAGATGTCCATGCCAATCTCTCCGAATCGCAGCGCAGCAAAGGTGATTGCCGGGAAAAGGATCCAGCCGATGGGGAACGCTGTCCAAAGTGGGAACCACTGAGGAACATAGTCCCAGTAACCCCAAAGACGATTCGTATAGACCAGCCAGACGAAGACGCAGATGTAGAAATTATACAGGAGCGGCGCAAATACCATGGATGAGAGGATCTTCCAGGTTGCCATGACGTCTCTCCCCTGAATCTTGACGGATGACCCAGCCAGCGCCTCCTTTGCCTTGCGTATGCTGATCAGTTTGGTAGCAACAAAGACGGGCGAGAACAAGGCCAATCCGGGCAGAGTTGCCACGAAAAGCACTAGAAGTTTGGTTACACGATAGAAGAAAGTAAGGATGACTTTGGGGAAAGACAGTTTGGCGTATTGTACTTGATGGTCCCGGATGTTGAGATAGCGCAGCTGCCTGTTGTAGTCCTTGACCGATTCCGACAGGTGGACGATACGCTGGTCATCCTTGTACTTCTCATAGCCAAGGGCAAGCCTCCTGTTAAGTTCGACGACGAAAGGCAACGGCAGTTTCTTTCCGGTCGGGTTGTAAAGTCTCCTGGCTGCTTGTATCAGCATGAGGGTGTCGTAATCGGGAGTCGACACTGTAACGGCAGCCAGTGCCTGATAAACGGTGTCCAGTAACTGGCCGATAGCGTCTCTCCTTTTGCCGTTCTTGTACATGTCGACAAGTTCCGGGGCCACTTCTATGGGTTGACCAAACTCGACGACAGCCCTCGACCTGAATTTGTGAGCGTGGAAATAATTCATGCCAACTGGGACAATCTTCAAGCCAATATCTGGGGAATCGGCCAAAGCTCCCAGAGCCATAATGGCCACACCTGCTTTCAGAGGAAGAAGGCCTGTGCGGTCATGGCTACCACCCTCGGGGAAGATGCCCACACATCCTCCAGTCCTCAGCCTGTCAAAAACGGCTTCATACACCTTGGACTGGTCAATGTGTGGAGCCAACTTGTACTTGGATCCCTCATAGCCGTCTTTAGGTCCCTTCTGACTTTTGTTTGTGAAGTTTCCGTCCTCGTCCACATCATCACGGCCCGTCAGCTGCATCATGGGCACCTTACCCTTGAAGGCACGCTTCACACGGATTTCCGTAGCGCTAATAACCTCGGCGATATCGACGCTCGTTCCATTGTGTCCCTTGATCGAAGGCAGGAAGATCATGCCGCCCACTTCGGCATCCTTATCGAACTTAGTACCAACGCCTCGGATCAAGTACGGGTCGTCGATAGGATATGGCATGTATATAAGTCCAGCCTTAGGCTTCGCGGCATCTTGCGCGCGGCCCACAGGAACGGCGCCGACCTGTCGAGAGGCCCATCCGATGAAGCCGTGGACGGATTTTTGGGCGATGAGGAGGGAGACACGGCGCTTCGCCTCGCTACGTAATGTCTTCTGGAGGACCAAGGCATCGACAAACTACCAGGGACGTAGTGATTAGTAACCCGCACTTGTCTCTTATAAACTCCGTGGCAAGATTCTCACCTGATTGTTGTGGGGAGCCGCGACGAACAGGACCGGCCCGTGTCTTGGGACTTTCCAGGAACCTCTCGGATGAACTTCTCGGAAGAAGAGGTCCGCAAATATGGACATGACCCATAGAACGCTGTCGTACTTCCAGTTGCTCATAGGGTAGAGCTCCCTCGAGGGAGTCGGGGAGCTCGCGCTCTCGGGTGGCGCGTCCTTGTCGACGCCATTTGCTGTCGCCATTGTCGGTGATGGCGTAGAAGTAGCAGATACACAGCTGGCGTCTAGCAGGTAGCGATTATACGTTTGGCTACCGGCAAGGCTGCTTCTCTAGAGAGAAGCAGGACGAAAGTCCTCTCTGAGGACCTGTGGAAGTTTCTCGACAGCGGGGTAGCGTGGTTAATGGGGTCTGGCGCGCCTACCAAAAAAATAAAAATAAAACTCAAACTCAAGGAAGCTGGAAATGCTAGGAACAATGACGGAGCCGAAGAAGATGAAGAGAAGAGGTCCAGACTCTTCACTCCTTGCTTATATCGTGAGCTTGACCAAGAAAAGAGAAACAAAAGCGAGATAATAAGCGATGATGGCGGGTGAAAGGAGCCGCTATCAAGTTGGAGGGGAGGGTAGCTAAGACAGCATGCATACTTAAGCTCAGGTGCCTAATGAGGTAGGTAGCTGCCGTCCAAAACACCGATCTTTCCGTTACGCCATAGAAATCTATCGCGTAAGGGTGACACAAGCTTGCAAGTGCTGTACAGGACGTAAATACTACACGAGCCATACAGCTCAAGCCTGTTTCTACAAATCTTTAACTATTGGATGGGTTTTAAACCGATACCATTGAGTCAACACGCAGACCAAGCAATGTAGTAAGCAGTACATGAGAAAAAGGCCAGAAGTCAATTGCATCATCCGAAATTCGAATTCCCTTGACTCTAGAAAGTGCAATGCTCAATGGTGGGGAACCTCGAATCCTGCCGGGATACCTAGGTAACTACCAACGATGCGTGATTACATCAGACCAATTTGACCTAACGTTAGATGTAGGTAGGCAGCGAATAACTCCTAATCGTAGACTGTGCTACCTGTTACACGTAGACGTTCAGAACTTCGATAATCTCATTTTCATATTCAATTGAATATCGCAACGGTTCATGTACTTCTTTTCATTTTGAAATTCAAGAATCGTAGCATAACAGCCACGAGAAGCTCGGTGGCGGCAGTAAGATGGTGTCTGAAAGATGCACGCCATCTGCCACTCCAACCCAATCTGTCTACGTCCATGCGTCCGGCCTTAAGCCATGTTCCCAACAAATCAGATGCAGAAACGTCCAAAACTACGTTGAGATTTTTCGCCGCGATACTCTCCCGGCGGTTATGCTTCTCGTCTTCGGCTATTCTAAGGCGGTACAGTTCGAAGTCCCGGAACATCTGGTAGGCCGGCCCTGCCTTCTGTATGTCTCAGCCAATTCCAACGGCGCAGCTTCGGCTAGACAGAAGATGCTGGTCGGCCCTACTGTAAGGTAACCTTTGAGCCTGCCTTAGTGTGCGTAACTCTCTCGTATATGTAGCCATAGCGTGACAGACAAAACAATCCCATAGCTATGTTATAGTCCCCAGTAGTCACAAACGATTTAAAGAGGCTAGCGAACTCTCAAGGGGCCTTGGGATTTCAGCGATTGGGACACACAAGATAGATTCTAAAAGAGTCTCTTGAACTTAAATGGTAGTTTCTAGCTGGATTAGGGCTGTTCGAAAAGGCATATCTCTTTCTCAGGGGTCATAGTAATTAGAAGGTTGTTGTTGACTTGAGAGTCTCCTTTTCCAATGGAAGTAAACCAAGATCCATAACTGGATCTACTTCAACCCAAACCTCTAAAGCTAAGCCCATTCGTAGCAAAACCAATAACTGGCCAGGGGGTATCTTAAACACCATCACGATCACTTCTTCGCCTTGCCTTTGCCCTTTCTGCGCCTCTCCTCGGGTATACTGACCGTCCCAGCCTCCAGCTCGCCCTCCTCAATCTTGCCCTCCTCTTCCAGCTCCTTGAGCTTCTCCTGGCCGCTAATAAACATCGTCAAGTCGCGGTTCGTCTCCTTGAGCTCCTCGTTCTCGGCCTTGAGCTCGAGCATCTGCCGCCGCACGCCCTCCACCTCCTTGTTGACGTGCTCCACGCGCGCCAGCAGGCCCTCGCTGACCTTCTTCTCCTCCTGCAGCGCCTGGCCCAGCTTGCGCGCCAGCTCGGTCGACTTGTCGGCCCGCCGGCGCTCGCGCTCCACGTCCCGCTCCAGCGCCGGTACTGTCTCCTCCCTGAGCGCGCGGTGCTCCGCCCGTAGGGCGCGTAGCTCCCGCACGGCCTCCTGCGCTTGCGCGCCGGCCGTCTCCGCTGCCGCCGATGCCTTGGACGCCTTGTCTGCGGCCTTGCTGACCATCTCCTCGAAGTAGATGCGCTGGCTCTCGAGCTGGCTGGTCAGCAGGTGCGAGTATTCCATGCCGATGTTGTCGAGCTTGGCGCGCGGCACGACATCCTCGTCCTCTGAGCCTCTCTCGCCGCGGCCACCGTCACGCACCCGATTCGCGTTGCTAGGTAGCTCGACGACCTTGCCGTCACCCTTGTCGCGGATCAGGCGGTGCACCCACATGTCGCCGGCGTAGTCCCACACGTGCTGTGTCTCCAGTTCAAGGCTGAAGCTGTGTGCCGTCTCCTTCCAGTGATCCTTGGCGTGGCCCCCTTTGTATCGGCCACAGCCCACGTTGCCGCAGATTAAGCATATCCATAGATCATCTGTGCAGTCACACACACTACACAGATTAGAGGCATCCGTGCCGAAGGGTCGTGCATAGGGGTTGTTGGGATCGGAGTCCGGCGTTGGGTTGGTTGCTCGACATACGGGACACCCTGAGCCCTTCCATGTTTGTAGACATGTGCAGTGAAAGACGTGCTGACAGAGTATTGTCATGAGCCCCGTTGTATCGTCCATGCGCTCAAGGCAGACCGGGCAAGTGGGAAGTTCGATCAGACTTGGTGTGGGTGGAGGGAACGGTTTCATGGAGCTGACCAGGCCACCAGCCGATGCTGGCCCAAAGGGGTCGCTATTCAATGACGATGCGGTGTCTTTCGGTTGTGTGGGTGTCTCGACGGTTATCGACTTGATAAATGTGACATGACATATCTCAGCCTGCTTCGTGTTAGCTTCTTGCATCGGGAACCATCTGTTTCTGATATGAGCAACTCACTTCCATACTGTTAAAGACTTTGCCATCAAACTCCTTCCTCCACTCCCTCGCCCTCCTATTATCCCGAAACTTCATGAGCACCATGTATCGATTCATCCGGCTCGTCATGACCATCCGGTAGTGCGAGACATCTCCCCGCCACTTCTCGCCCACAAAGCCCAGGAAGTCGCTCGGCGAGAGATAGCTCGGCACGGCCGGTATGCACAAGATCGTGCAGTCGTCTTCCGCCGAAGCCACACTACTGCTCCCTGCCCCGTCCGGGCCTTGCCACGGCTCCGCTCTCAGGGCATGCGACTCGTCGTTCTCGCGGTACAGATGCACGACGCCCCAACCCACCTCCGTGTTCTTCGTCTCGAGCGGCACGTACCGCGCCTTCGTCGCCTGTCCGGGGCCACCGAGATTCGGGCCAAGCGAGGCCGCCGGCGTGACGTGCTCGCCGTCGACCGGCACGTGGAAGTATCCCCCGCTGCTGCTGCTGCCGCCCCCTTGGTCATGATGGGTGCCGCCGGCACCCGCACCCGCACCCGCGCTCGCACCAGCCATGTCGAAGCTCTCGATGTTCACGCGCCCGAACCGCCAGTCCTTGGCCGCCGTGCGCGGTCCAATCCCAGCAGCGAACCCAGGCGGCGGAAAGCTCTTTGATCTCGCGCGCCACTGCCGCTCGGTGAGGTGCACGATGTTGCGGTGGTCGTCGCCAGCGCCGTCTTCCTCCTCCTGCGATATTCCGCCTCCCCTGGGCGTGCCGCAGTCAATGACGGCCGGCGCCCGCTCAGGGAACTTGTCCCGCCTCTCCAGCGGCCCGGACGATACCCAGGCGCTGCTGCTGCTGCTGTTGCTGTTGTTCGCGCGCGCTCGCCGCGGGTGCGAAGGCAGGTCGTCGAAAATGCTCGCGCCGTCGGTGGGCAACCAGACCTGCTCGTTGAGGGCGCTCTTTTTCCCACCGCCGCTTGCCTTGGTCGTCGTCGTCGTCGGGTCTGCGTTCGGGTACAGCTCGAACTTGAGGTGGTAGTAGTACGACGGCATGCCTGGGTGGACTCTTCGTTGCCCGGATGGGCTCTGTCGGTCGGTTTGGGAGCTGTCGTCACCCGCCGAGTTGTTGGTGTTCCTCGTAGCTATGGCAGTTTGCGTGTCAAGGTGGCAATAACACTTCCACGCGAATAGTAGCCGCCAAACACATGCTGTGCCCAAAGCCGTCAAACAAACGCTGGGAAGTGTAGAAAAATTGCGAGTGGCAAGCTTCGTGGTCTTCAATAGAATCTGCAAGATAGATCGATAGCATTCATAATCAGGAACGGCCCCGCCACCCCACCATTGCGAGTGACCCAGTCGGCCAAGCCACGAGGTTACACGTACAGTTCACACATGGGCACAACACATATCACGATTCGAAGGCGATGATCAAAATATAGACTGCAACAAGTGTCTATTGTAGCATCATTATCATGTAGATGCCATACTAGCTAACGGATTTCGTCATCCAGTGCCGTGTGATATTCCCTAATTCCCTTCATACCGAGAAGAAAACGCCAAACAGCCCAAAGTCAAGTCAACCGAATGCAGATGCTTACTGACCACCACGGAGACGCAGCACCAAGTGGAGTGTGCTCTCCTTCTGGATGTTGTAGTCAGACAGAGTTCGGCCATCCTCAAGCTGCTTACCAGCAAAGATCAATCGCTGCTGGTCAGGGGGAATACCCTCCTTGTCCTGGATCTTGCTCTTGACGTTATCGATGGTGTCTGAAGATTCTACCTCCAACGTAATCGTCTTTCCAGTCAAGGTCTTGACGAAAATCTGCATACCACCACGAAGTCGGAGCACCAGATGTAGCGTAGACTCCTTCTGAATGTTGTAGTCAGAGAGAGTTCGTCCATCCTCCAGTTGCTTTCCAGCGAAGATCAGGCGTTGCTGGTCAGGAGGAATGCCCTCCTTATCCTGGATCTTGCTCTTTACATTGTCGATAGTGTCTGAAGACTCGACCTCAAGTGTGATTGTCTTTCCGGTAAGAGTCTTGACGAAGATTTGCATACCACCACGGAGACGGAGAACAAGGTGCAGAGTAGACTCCTTTTGGATGTTGTAGTCGGAGAGGGTGCGGCCGTCCTCCAACTGCTTACCAGCGAAGATCAGACGCTGCTGGTCAGGTGGGATACCCTCCTTATCCTGAATCTTCGACTTCACATTGTCGATGGTATCAGATGACTCGACCTCGAGAGTGATGGTCTTGCCAGTGAGGGTCTTCACGAAGATCTGCATGCCACCACGCAGACGAAGGACCAAGTGAAGGGTGGACTCCTTCTGGATGTTGTAGTCGCTCAGGGTGCGACCGTCCTCGAGCTGCTTGCCAGCAAAGATGAGGCGCTGTTGGTCGGGGGGAATGCCCTCCTTGTCCTGAATCTTGGACTTAACGTTGTCGATGGTGTCAGAGGACTCCACCTCGAGGGTGATGGTCTTGCCCGTCACTGAGAAAGAATGTTAGTCGCTGAAATGATGGAACTGGCGGTGAAGGAGGCGCAGAGCGCTGGAGATTACTTACGGGTCTTGACGAAGATCTGCATGATTGCGGTTTGATGGAAGGTGGCGATAAGTTGAGTGAGGGGTTGATGATGGTAGATGAGGTCGCTCGTGTCTCGCAAGAGAGAAGTGCGCCGATGAGGACGTTTGGTGGATGGGTGTTTTGGGTTGATGTGAGGTGGAGGGGAAAGAAAAGAAGTCGGCGATGGAAATAGCAGGCAAGAGGTTTAAATAGGGTGGTGGTGAGGAAGATGGCAGCAGAAGGGCAAGGAAGGCGGCGGAGAGGGCGGCGAGATGAAGGTGGCAGTGTCCCAGTGACCGGAAGCGATAACGCCTTGACGAATTACGTACCTCAGATGGCGGAAGGCGGGGGTCCACGCAGCTGGTTTGCAGGCAGAATGCGCCGTTCTCTGAGCAAATCCGGGCAGCTTGTGATTCATCAGCGAGCAACTTTAGCGCCAAACCCACCAGGCCGAACCCCTCCGAACGAGCTAGACGGTTCTGACTAGGCAGTAGCTGCTACCTCTACCTGGCGGGGAAGGAGCTGCTACAGGCAAGTAGGCAGTACCTACCTGGTCCGTGCACGGACACCTGGAAGGCTGGACCACAGCCACCTGTTTCCAGCCTGACAAGCCTGTTGAAGCAACACTTCGCCTCCTAAGAATTGCAATCTGCAGGAACAGGAAAGAGTGGGTGATTGGGGGGACTTCAGGGGTGAGGCTACCTAGCACTGGAATTGTTTACTTGATCGTCCATGTGAGGCTCTCGCGATATATTCCACAGGTGATTTCGATCCAGAGCTATGTACGATGCATCGACACCTGGATCACCTTATGCCTGGTTGCTGTTGCTCACAGTGGAGATAAGGTGCGGGAGTCAGACCAGGGCAGTGGAGCCAGCAACGATAAGGCCAACCTCAGGGCGTGATGTTCCTGATCGTCAAACCATAATCAAACAATCACTCAATCCATCCATCGACCAGCCGTCTGTTCCTGGTTTTTCACCTCCGATTTCTCAGTCTTTTCGATTATCTATCGAGCAAATTTCTCATCATGCTCGGCGTCGCCATAGTTAGGAATAGACGCCCTCAAGCATGACGATGAGTGAGACGCGCGGGTGTGACCGGAGCGAGAGATAGAGAGAGAGCCAAGTGGGCACTCTCCTCGTCTGTCAGCCAGCAGGAATGCAAATGCGGGGTTGCCGTAGGTGCTGCTCTGACCTCTATTTCCCTGGCTCCTTGCGACATCGCAAACCCGACCCCCCGGCCACTCAGCGACGTCATCCGCCCTGATAGAGAGGTCGCTTTAATTAAACCAAGCACGTTTCTGGCACGAACTGCAGCGTTGCTTTTCGGCCTACATGTAGTAATCCGCGTTACAGGGGGGCCACACTGTGATGGCATCATCGGTCTAAGGTTCCTTGGTCGGGAAAAAAGAGAATGGAGAGTCTATGTAAAGTTTCCACTGATAGAGATGGGATGGTGGGTGTGCCTGGAAATGCTTGTGTAAACCAGATATCCAGATGCACACACTTCAGCCTCCGCCAGGGGGATCGTCTTGCCAACGGGCCATCCCATCAGCCTTAACTCGCCACCGAGAGGCAGATCCAACACCATTTTCGCTGCTCTCCCAGATTTGCGAGTCGGCAGGATAGCTAAACCTTGATGTGCTAAGGTGGGAGCTAAAGAAAGGTAAAGTCGACAACCACCAAGACGAGACCGCCGAGTCGGCAGTATCGCCACTGGCTGAGGCTCTTATCATCTCGAGGCAGCGCGCTCCGTCTCCCACGTGAAGCGGCACGCACAATGCAGGTCTGTCTCGATAGAAGCAATAGGCATGGCCACGTTCCTACAGTAGAAACAGACCAGTCTCAGACACTTCAGCTCCCGTGTCAGCGCACATGACATCAACTGAAACCCAATGCGCTACAGCAAGATACTCGGAGTATCGATAGGCCACCCAATGCTCGTCGTCCGGCCTGCAAGGGGGCTTTCTCTACAGTGTCGAACCGATGGACCATTGGGCGCAGGTCTTATCTAGTCAACGGCAATCGGCAATCCATGGCGGAGGATGTGCGGAGATTGACGTTTCTCCCCTCGCTGCATGTCTGAGGCACTTTATGCGGCACTCGTTTAAAACAGAGTAAGCATTCCATCCTCCTGCATGAGCAATCAAGCGGTGAGCACATCACAGGAAGGACAACGCACAAAAGCACCCTCAACCAAACAAAACAAGCACAGAGTTGGTGGGTTCATTGAGCGTTTTGAATTATGCCTGACTTCGTCTTGTCTAGCTACATAGCAACATTTCAAACGTAGAAAAACATCTCTTTTCAGCTTTTGGAATAGCCATTGGAAAGCCAGAATCTTCATATCCATCAAGTAGTAATAAATAGGTACTCGTAAATTGTTGTTGAAGGCGTCAGAGAATGCCTATCAAAAACGCCAATTCCATGCATATACTCTATATGCTCTCTCTCTCTCTCGCTTCTCGCTGTTCTCTTGTGCTCTTCCCATGATCCAAACAAAATCGTAAACATGATCCCATAGGCCCATTTTTCCCTGGCAAAAAGGGAGTTCAAGTTCAGTCATACACTTCATAGAAATGGTCATCAAATGGTCGTGAATGCTTCCGGCGCTAGAGGCGTCTTCTTCTCGTCGCGATCGTGGCGGGTGACCAGCCGTAGTGAGCTGTAAGAATGGTAGATGGATAATTTGGTAGGTTGGTGAAATGGTTGCTGATGGGTGGAGGTTATGTACGGAGAATCTCAAAACGCCCTCGCTGAATGGTTCCAACAAAAGAAATCGTCGACATATGAAACAATAGGCACGCCCAGTCTGCTTTGCAGGCCGTGACGCGAGAACAGAAGGATATCATATGCAACAAGGTAATCAAGGGTGGAGTTAACACTACGCGCGAATGACAAGCTTAGACAGGAACTTGTTCGACAGCGAGTCGAAATCGTAACGGTCAAACTTGCTCTCGGGCCGTGTTCGCAGGTACGACTCTGGAAAGTGTGTTAGACATGGACATACGTATCTCTTCGTTAGGGAATTACTCACCATGCTTGATGACATGCTGCCGAACTTCAGTCATGGCATCGCAGACTGCGACATTGTTGTTCAACAACTGTCCGTGTCTGCGAGTGTCCCACTCGGTGAAGCAAGGGAGCTTCTGGGAGATGGCGTGGAAAAGGCCAACAATTACACCAACTGGAGTGGTCTCCATGTCGCTGCAGAACTTGTTGACCGCATTCGGGTCGGGAACGCGGTAATGGCAGTCGAACTGCATCTCCTCCCAGACAGCCAGGAGAATAGAGGCCAGCATGAAGATTGTGGGCCAGTTTTTGAGACGATCGCCGCTGTAGACACTAGAGTACAGAGCGGAGAGCTCCTCAAGGATGTCCTTCTGCAGCTCACGCCACATATCGGCCATGGCACACTTAATCTGGAAGTTGATCATGACAGGTGCAACGACTTTGCCATAGAACTTGGAGTCCTCGTCATCGATAGTACCTTCGAGAGATGCCTCCTCACCCTGAGATTCAATCATTGTGATGTGCATGGTGAGGTTGTAGGCCAGCACAAGCTTGAGCGCCTTGCGGATAACAGGCAGCTTCTCCTTCTGGTAATACCGGTGAGCAGTCTTGAGAATCTCCGTGATGAAGGGAGTGCCCTCGAAGTGGTCATCAATGAAGTGCTCGAACGACTGGTCGATGTGCTTGTCGAGGTACTCTGAGAGGGCCTCCATAGAGACGCCATCCTGGCCAACATCGAGCTTCTCGGTGCGAATCTCAAAGTCGATGGGTTCCTGGTCTTGCAGACAAGACTCAACCCAGTCGACGCTGAAGCAGCTGTCATCTGCAACATAAACCTCGCGGACCGGGATCGGCAGGGCATAACCATATCCATGGGTGACCCACATGATGGTCTCCTTTTGAGCAAAGCCCTTGACGTTGTAGACAGAGACACCACGATCGAGGTGGCGCTCGTAATCGGCCTTCCAATCCTTCATGAAGTAGCCAATATCCTTGATATCGATACGAGTGCAAGGGACTTGCCAAAGACGAGCATGAGAAGGCTGGCAACCTGCACATGGCTCTCCCTTGTCACAAGTCTTCTTGAGGAACTTGCATCGTAGACAAGCTCGCAATTTTCTGATCTCACTGGCTTGCTTGCGTTGCTCAGGAAGCAGCGGGCCTCTACGTCGTCCAACCTTCTTCTCGCCAGTGCCATCCTTCTTGCCAGTCGACGTTCTACGGATCACTGCCTTGGTCTTGGTAATTGGGCTCTTTCGAGGACCTGATGACCTCCTTGCAGGCGGTGAAGCGGAGCCTGACGCGGAGCCTGCACCGGATCCACTGGCAGGAGTTGCTCGGGTGGAAGGAGTAGCCTTGATGGGCATTGGGGCTACAGCAGCGGTAGGGCTGATTATCTCATGTGAGTGGTGGTGGTTGTCCCCGTGGAAGCAGTTGCGGTGGTTGTTGGTGGTATCAATGTAGGTGTCCGACTCGGGAGAAAATGGAGAGTATGGGAAGGTCACTTCCTCATAGCTGCCAAATTCAAGCGAGCTACCGTCGGTCTGAGAAGAGTCCGAGTTGGTCCTTAAATGCAGAGTCTGGCCTGGGTTGAAAATAGCAGCATTTTGGGCCTGCTGCGTCTGTGGGTACGAATCGTAATTCTGATGGAACACATCAACCTGAGCCCAGCCATTGTCACTGCCTGATCCTAGCGACAAAACCTCGAGATACGTTCCCGTTGGGGAATTGCTTCCCAAACTGTTCGGGATGCGGGGAAGGCCATCGGCCTGGTACTGAATAGCCGTTTCGAAATCCTGCCAATTCGCCATCCCGCCCATGCCACCCATGCCACCAACCCACTGGCCGTCGACCGGGGACATGTTGAAAGTGGGCTCCATCTGGTGAATGCTAGCCTCAAGCGCAGCCTGCGTAGTGGCTGGCAGGTAGTCGAGAGGGGAAGGTTGAAGGCTCGCGGTGAAGGGATTGAAGCTTATCAGAGCGGAGTCCTGGATAAAGTGGGATAAATCCTGGGCTGGCTGCGATACTTGCTGTTGTGGGAAGGTCCAATCTGCCAGGAGGGCCGAGGGATTGGGATGAGCAGATGCCTGATACGGAGAAAGCTGCTGCTGGTGAGGACTCGAGGCTGCCGAGCTGTGGTGAGTCGGAGACTGTGCCTGATGTTGTTGTTGGTGCTGGTGTTGGTGTTGGTGCTGGTCCTCGGGAGATGAGACCGCGACGATGCCCGAGTTAGGTGAATGCATCGAGACTGCTCCCACTCCGCCATTTGCCATATCGAGAGGCATCGGCCAGGCGGCGCCGGGGCTCTGGCGACTGGGCTGCTGCTGGGCCATCGAGACGCTGCCAGGTGAAGTGGTGGGGATGGAGGTCGAGGCGGCGGCGGCGGTTGAGGAGAAAGGGTAGCGGTCCCGCGGGTCGAATCCAAGCTGTTCCAGCAACGCGGCCTCTGCTCCTGCTTGGGCGGCGTTGAAGTCGAATGTCATGGTGCCAAAACAAGAGAAAGAAGAGATCGGGTGTGGAGGGATTGGAGGAGAATCGATAGTATTGTATCAAGATGACACCGCTCTTTTGGCGGATCTCGAGCAGAGATCGGTGAGGGTCAGCGGGTGGTCATGAGTGATGTCCTGGGGAGAAGTTTGGGGGGGAGAGAAACTCGGGAGAGGAGTGAGAAGCGTGCTCAACGCATGCAGCGCACGCAACGAGGTGGTGAGATGGGCGCTGGTGGGTGAGCGGATTGTAGAGGTGGGAGGACGCTCTCTGTGCGGTCCCGCTCCGTTGAAGAGGCGGTGAGAAGTGCAGCGCTGGTGTCCCAGCCCCGGCCGGCTCGTGCAGCCAGCACACCCAATTAGAGGCCCCCGTCACCTTCCGTGCCATGCAAGAACGTGGACCACGGCGGGGCACACGACACCAATCAACTGACGCTAAAGTAGAGACTCCAGCAACTCCATCCCAGAGACTCCTCGGCCAGCCTCCTCGCACTGTCTTGGGGACTTCCTGCTTCACTCCCTCTCTCTATTCAACTCTCATCTGTCTCCTCGCGGCACAGTCCAGGGTTGGCACGCGAGGTACTGTAGTTACCCCCAACCCATTTGCGGCGGCACAGCTTCGGGGGGCTTACAGTGGAGGGAAAGGAAAGGCTGGATGGACTCTTCAGAAGTCTCTTGTCGAGTTGTTCAACGCACAAGTGGCTTGACAGCGGAAATTGCCCTGCTTCTATGCTTCTATGCTCGCCTGTCTCGAATTGTCTTGGACTTACGTAGTAGGCTAGTTCACACACAACTCCTACAGACCAGTGACCGCCATACTACCATGCCATGCCATGCCACAAAAACGCCGTTGCCGCCAGCCATTAGATACCCCTAAGAGGGCCCGAGGTAAGTAGGTCTCAGAGCCCCCATCGTGATCCTTGCCCGCGGGGCTCATGAGCCCACAATCAGCATGCCATTGTGGCAGGAAAAGCGCAAAAAAGGAGCCCCAACCCGCCGACGCACGCCTGTCTCCTTGTAATCAGACCCTGGAACCGCGAGAACTCGCCGTGCCGGAGGAAACGTGCCAGATACTCGTGCAGATCTTCGTTGAAACCTCCCCAGCTCAAGCATTGAGGTTTAAATGAATACGTCTGACAGAGGTAGAGAACCTGGAATTCACTTGAAGCGCTTATCAACCCGCCACCGCCTTCTGTCGGCTGAGGCACTTGTGCCAGCAGAGAGACGGGTGGCAGCAGAAGCCGGCCGATCACCAACAGCTATGACATACTCCTATGATAACCAAGCCCATCAAGTCTTCATCTAATCATCCCCCGGCACTCAATACCGGTATGTCACTGTGTCAGCAAATTTCAGATGCTTGTGACACTTCAGTCTGTCTGTCTCTGGCTTCCGCGTTCTTTGTGTAATCTGTTTCGCCTTATTCATGTCTCTCAACGCCGTCTCCTACGTCTTGATTACTATGGCCAGCCTGCCGTTCGTATACGAAACCCTCCCATTGCCGCCTGGGGCTTTGGGCGGGAAAGGCTTGCCTTTGGCATGTCGTAAGTGGTAAAGAGCCCAGTTGGCGTGTCTAGACCAGACAGGAAGCCCCGTGCTTGCAGGCGGGAAGGCAGGCTCTCATGTCGCCGCAAGCCAGGGCGCTCTTCGAAGTACCCAGCACAGTGAGGCACGAGGTATCTCGACGGAGAGAAGTAACGGTCCCTCTCGGGTGCAGTGATGGTTGCATTCGGCTCAAGTCGTCCACGATCTGTGTATGGCCACCGTCGCCTTTGGCGTGAGCTGCGCCATCGAGAACGGCTAGTCCATGCGAGTATTCCCCACGCCAAATCCAATTACCGTGCGCAAATCCAGACCACTCAGGAACCCTGACCCAGGCCTGGGCTAGAGGCTACTCTAATGGCGGACCCTACTCTGCTCTGCTCTCTCGATCCCTTGGCCACTTGATAAGAGGCGGAGTTTTGAGACGCGTGAGTCGTGTTTCGGTTGTTTTCACAATCCAGAAAACTCGGAATTCGTCTTTCCCATTGATCAATTGGAAGTCTTTTCACAGAGCAATCCAGTCGATCGGCTGATATCGTCACCCATCCAGAGGCGTCGAAGCTCGAGTGGTACACAGGATGGCGGGGAAGAGCAGATCAGGATCGAATTGAGCTCGAAGCTGGTGAGGGGCGCACAACTTGCCCAGCACTGCCCTCGTTCTCTCTCTCCTGTCGAATCATCCCGAGCCGACGTACGTGACGAAGGAAGCCCCCGAGCTCACAGACCTTGGTCTGTGTCGGCGCTAGTAGTATCGTAGACAAGCCTGCTACTGACCGCTGGTTAAGCTCGCGATATAGCTGGCACGATCTCCACCCCCATTCCTGGCAAGCACTATACCCGCTGCTGTTTTAAGACACTCTACTATTGAAGCACTTTCCAGGAGCATCCTGGGAATGGCTTCCTGGCTTCCTGGTCAGGGAGACTCGGGCTATTAACTCCCCAGGGGCTTCTATAGTATATCTCGGCTGCCGTCAGCGTGCACGTCTCATCAGCTGGCCTCTACCCCTCACTGAAGCAGGGACGACGATCTGCAACCTTGGACGGGAACGATCGATTCGTATACTGGGCCTTTAAAACACTCTGGCCCTCAGCCCCGTGTGGGACGCACGCCAGCACTCTATCTCTCCACCTTCCTGCTTCTAAAGGACGAAGAAACTTGCCTCTTCTTGGTTGGGCGCAGGCAGAGCATGAAGCGGGAACTCGCCGCTCCATGCAACAGTTTGCAAGTGTATCTCGTTACAATGGGCTAATCTACAGGGAGCTTGAGGGCAACGGCCAGCTATATCAAGGTCGGACTAAGACTTGATGATTCAAGAGTCCGTCGGTTGCGAGTCAAGTTCGATCGTCAAGGCGTGGCGAGACTACGGCTGCGTTGTCTATCCTCTTGCGTGATTCAAACGAACCTGCTAGGAAGTCCCTACATGTAGTGGGCAGCTGTGGGACTGGAGAACGCCGTTTCTCGTGGAAATGGACCACGAAATAACCCACTTTCTCCGGCATCTCCAGATATCGTCTACCGAAGAAAAAAGCAATCATCATGCTAGACAAGCAGTTGCTCTGCGGCTTCAAAATGCGGTCAAGGAAGCCGGTCAGGCTCCTGCCAGCCAGTTCCTGTAATTGACAGCAGCACGAGGAGGCAAGCAAGGAGGCGGATCACCCGTAGGAGCCGGCAGGCACCAAGCACCTGCAGCTCGATGGCGAAACCCTTCATACATAGACACTTACATACATTTGCCACTAGAGCAGCAAACTGCTCATCAACGGCCGTTGATGCATGCAATATTTTTCGACCCGGCACGAGTCTAGGGGATTGGCTAGAGCTGTCGATTTGCTTAATGCGGACCTTGAGGCGAAAGCACTGCTGCGTCTGGGCCGCGGTGAGATTTAAGATGACCCGGGAGCGTCCGCATCTCAACGGCTGCGAAACCCGGGGTTCCATCAGGCGTTCTCGTAAAGCAAGCAATTCAAGTAAAAGGGCAGCCGCTCGCGAGCCGTTTATTGTTGCTTTTGGAGGCTAGCCAGCCAAGAGACCGGAGCATCGATTCAAATTGTGGGAGCCCAGAAGCCATGAACCGGTACGAAAGACATGCCACATGCTGAACGTCCGTCATCAAGACCTGTCTTGAACCACCTGAGACATTGTGCCATACACAGAAGAAAATACGGTGGTCGGATTCGTAAAGCTCCTAATGATGGCATTGAGGGTCACATGAGAGATTATCCCACCTGTTACACAAGGCTGGTTCTCAAAATACGTCACTAATCTGACAGTAGATAGGTGTAGGCATACAAAGCAGCATCCGGATGCACTGCTATCAATGAAGGGGATTACACTCATTTTAGGGCCCCATTTGTTGATATCAGATCTCTGGTCAATCTATATATGTTTGGCATGGCGTGTTCATTGTCGGATTGTGATGTGTGATGTTTAGAGGAAGTGCATAGACGGGAACTAATAGAGATTGGGCTATTTTGAATTTGTTAGCAGCAACCTAAGGCATCAATCAAATCAACCTACCAATCCAACATCTGACTTTTTAACGACATCGCTTCATTGTTCCAGTAGCTGGTGGCCTCGATCCCGAGACTCAGCTAAGCATTGTGCAGACGCGGAACAATAGTAAGAGATGACGGTCTCGTTGGGTGGCTTCCGTCGACAACAAAGTCGAAATTCCCCAATCAGGTAATGAGTTTCCGCACAAAGGCAGGTCGACTACGGAATCGGGTTGTCTTCAAAAGGAGGGCCATGGCTACCACGGCTGGAACAGTGCCCCAACGGCCTCTCGACACCGAAGTCGATGAAGAATTCATTGAGGATACGTCCAGAGTCCGCCTCGCAGCCATGATTCCAG